TCTAGTTATCTTGGTACCTGTTACCTGATTAATTCTTATATTTAATATTAAAGTTAAATAACTTATTATTAATCTTAATTACTTATTTAATTATCTTGCTAAGAGTTTCTGGCTATTTTATTTAAATTAATTTCTCTTAAATCTCTGGTTTAAGCCCTTTCTTAAATTATATAATATAAATATTATTATTTTAATTTAATTAAGATATAATCTACTAAAATTCTAAAGTATACTAGTTAACTAACTTAAATTATTATAGTTATTATAACTTTTATTTAGTATTTTAAACTAAATTAATATCTCTAAATATTATATAAAATTACTTTTTAAAATTATTATAATTCTTGAATACTTTTTTTATTTTATTATCTTAATTATTTTTAGTATTATTCTAGAAGTCTCTGATATAAGATTTAAACTAATTAAATATTAAGTTCTTTAGATATATAGTAATAAATATAATTTTATTAGATTTAATAATAAGTCTCTCTTTATTTATCTTTATATATATATTTATTTATATTAAGAATATATAAAGCTTAGAATAAGTATTATTAAATACCTTTAATAATTTAATCTTAATAATATAGATTATAAGTTACTTCTTTAAGATTATAATATGCACCTGTAGTTACTTAATTATACTAATAATATTTATTAGAATTAGTCCTGTGCTAGTATTTCCCTAACTATTTTTATTACTAGTTCTAGAGATTAGTATAGCTATTTTATTATTATTTAATATGATAATATTTTAAATTATTTTAAGTTAATCTAAGACTTTACTTATATTAACTAGTATTTAATATATCAAGACCCTAGGATCCCTTCTCACTTCTGCTGTACTAGTATTAGTGACTTAGATTATTCAGAATAAAGAGCACCCTGTAATCTTCCTATTAGCTATTAATAATAGATTCTGTATTAACCTGAGGCCTTATATAATAGCTATACTAATTATATTAATTAATAAGTAACCTAATAGTCTAAAGATAATTAATAAGTAATAAGAGAAGTAAGATATGTCAGGTATAAAAACCTAATTACTTAAATTAAGTATAAATAAGTAGAAACTAGACTTGAATGTGTACTCAGACTTAAGATTATTATTAAATATAACTAATTAAACTATAAATACAGGTGAATAAGTGTCCTTATATATTCTTTATTTTATATACTTCTTACCTACTCCTGGAAGTATATCTAGAGTAAGAGCTAATAGCATGTTCCTCTATATAGCTACTCTGTAGCTACTCCTTGGGGTATATCAGGAGTAGGTGATCACATGACATAGCTTCTTGTGATACAGGGATCCTGATCCCATAATCTATTAATTAGCATCGGGCTTTTGCCTGGCTGTGCCACCTTTGTGGGGTATCAACCATGTTAGGTTTCCGTAACACTATATTAATTAATAAGGTGACCTGATAGTCTAAAGGTAACTAATAAGTAATAAGAGAAGTAAGGTGTGTCAGATATAAAAACCTGATTACTTAAGTTAAGTATAAATAAGTAGAAACTAGACTGAATAGTAACTTAGTAATAATAATATTATTAAACATGACTAATTAAACTATAAATATAGGTAAATAAGTATCCTTATATATTCTTTCTTAGTTATTCCTGTAATAACTTCTTTGTGATTACTTTCAGGATTACTTTAATTATATGTTTCTCTTGGTACCTACTCCTCTAGCTACTCCCTGGGGATAGGCATAGAGTAGATAATCATATCATGTAGCTACTTCTTTATCTCATGTTAGGAGTAGGTGATTATATCATGTGACTTATAGTTATTCTTTATGCAAGGGTTCTAATCCTTATATTAATCAATTGGCGTCGGGCTTCTGCCTGGCTGTGCCGCCTTCGTGGGGTATTAACCTCGTTGGGTTTCCGTAACAGAGAAGATATGGATAGTCTGGCTAGTATTACTACTCTCTCACTTCTATATCATGTACTTGAGACAAATATAGCCCCATGATCACATTACTGATTCCAGCTGACTGGCTCGATTCAGACCCTTCGGCTGTCAGTGACTCGGAAAGATCCTGGAAACAAATGAAATCGATTATAAGGCCTCTCTCTCTCTCTCTCTCTCCCCTCTCCCTCTCTCGCTAGCATAATTATTCACATATGAGAGAGACTATAATCCACCGGTCCAAGGGTGATACTTATCCTAGATTCTTTTCATATGGAAGGGGTGCACGGAGACACCCGGTCTAATGACCTAATTAAAGGTCCAACAGGCAAGCGGTACTAATGGAGCAGTGATTATGTGAGAGGTATATGGAAACTAACTGATCCCATTAAGGTTAGTACAAACTAGTCTGTATGATGGATAGCAGCATAGGAGCTCAGTTCATGCCATCAATACACTACTAATAACCCCTACGAAAAGTAACATGGGCTATTTGTCGGTGACTTTCTTATTGGAAAGCATAGATGTCTGGGCCCTTGATCAGCCAAGAATATCAGGTGACAGAGAGATAAAAGAATAGAAACTCCATGCTTATATTCAGATACTTGCAATATTCTGTAATTATAAAATTTATTTTCTAAAGCCGTAGTATGAACTAGCCTGTCTCTTCCTTACCCTCGGCATCTTCCGACATGGACCAGAATATCTACCTCGGAGAGCCTTGCCCGGAGCCAACCTAAATTCAAAGAATGAAGACACTTTATTTTCAACTATAAGCGCTAATAGCATATCCGCTGTTACTTCATCTTTGACTAAATGTGGGGAAACCGATAAGATCAGTCACATATTCATGGTTCTCAAAGCCATATAAAAGTTGCGAATAGTTGCAACTGTATGAAAAACCAAGGCAAAGGCTGTGCTGGAAAAGCCTGTGAACCAGCTGAAATGCTAACTAATTGCATTTACCAGATATTTCCACCCTGAAATACAACAAAATACAGAGACGGACGCACCCACGGAGCTGATGGGGTGTGAATAAGTACGCTACTTCTTACTTTCTTTTCATAACATGATGTCCACATTGATAGACATAGTTGAGTCTATGTGACCAAGTGTCAATTAACTTAAACATTGAATACAGAATCATGCTTACAGGCAAGTGCGTTATTATTCTGCGGACCATGTTAGCCTATGACTTTGAATATCTTCACGCTGGCTGTATCAGAGAATGTAACAGCGGAATAGCCCCGGTTGCTATCTCGGCTGCGATTAATAACACATGCTCTATGATACTCGACCTCTAGCTAATCTTCTAATTTGCAGGCAATCAAATTGTCGCGGAACCGACACCTGAATAGCGCCCCCCGAATCCTTCACCGGTTGGAGTCGGGCGGTTCTCCAGCATACAGCGACACCAATAACACATCCATGGGGTATATCATGCCTATCTATACACAGATAACCCCGAAAGCCTTTCAAAAGTCCCATATCAGTGCCACGAGGCCCCACATGGGCATCACGAGGTCTGTTTTCTGGGGAAATCAGCCCCACTAAGCCGGTCAGAGACCGGACCGGTTGGTGGATGATCCTGCTGGGTAACAAGGTTCCCTGGCGATAAGAGTCAACCCTACGTGAACTGGCAAATTGCCCAATGGTCAAAGAAGGGTATGGTCAAAAGAGGGAGGTATCTATCATGCACGTCGGAGATATTTCCGACTCTGCCATGGTAGATGCCAGAGACTATCCAGACCCAGAGCTATAAATTGAGGTAAATCCCCCCAGATAATCACACTCCTCATCCATCAGCATCACTACTCTCTACTCCTCCATCTACTCTCGAAAACCCCTTCTTCAACTTAAACTCAATCACCAATAATCATCAACATGCGTCTCCTCGCCTTCGTCTCCCTCTTCGCCCTCCTCGCCGCCGCGGTTCCCACCGTCGAGCTGAACGAGCGTGACATCGGCGACTGCTGCCTCATGGGAACCTGCGCCGACGACCACTGCCCCGGCGCTGGAGGCAACTAAGTGGTCAAGATGGCTGAAACCGGTGTCTGGTCTTGACTGCCATGTCAGCTGGCTTGTCTCCGGAAACACCATCCCTTGCTGTACTGGAATTGGTTGCGGGAGATGGTGGCTACGCGTTATATTCAGAGGTATGTTCTGGGTTTGATTTCTTCACTGTTACACCGGTACCTAGTGTGATGTTTTGTACAAGGGTCGGGGAGGCTAATACGTTAGATGGTTAGGTATGAAGGAAATTATTTTGAAATGTTTGGATTGGATTGGGTTGGTTTGGCATCTGGGAGGGAAGAAGGGGGATGAGGGCATGTACCTACCATTGGGTGGATTGATTTAGTTCACCCTTCTCTCAAATATGATATGACGCCCACTCTTAGTACCTATGTTTCTCTGCAATATTCAAACCCATGAACAGCTGAGACCACCCACCCAATTAGCCCAAGCGGTAGATCCTTCCAGTATTAGCGCCCCAGTACACCAAGGTTCTCTATCCACGATCACCACATCAAGTCTAGCCACGCATTCCTGGTCCCTTTTTTACAAGTATCATAGTATTAGAGGATGTCACCCGCCCCTTACCACCGGCGTAGGAATCTCCGGTGGCATTTGGTTTGGCCCCCAAGGAAGGAGTGTTAGTATACGCATATACCCCTCACCTTCCAGTCTGATCCTTCGTTCCTGTTCTGATCCTGTTCCGCAGGACTCATTGGGCTTTTTCAACTTTGATGGCGGGGTCGTGGGACTGGGTATGCGTGTTGCACGGCTTATTCGTGTGGTCTATGATCGGAAACTAGGTGGGCTGCTCTGAGATGAAGGGGACGATGCCGTCATGAACGTGTAGAACGGTTGGCTAGATAGTGCTATTGGATGGAGGTTTCAAGCTCGGCTGGGACGGGCACCATTGATGGGATTCGTCGCTTCCTTCGCTCTTATTAGGGGGCTTGGCTGGTTCCGGGGGCAGTCCCGAAACTCATCCGTTATCATCACCTACCCCCTTTATAGGATTGATAGATTGGTATGAGGGGGAAATGAGAACAATGCCAGGTCAGTCAGGTCCCGGGAGCGCGGCACGGATTTCACCCATATGGGATACTGCAACGGCTATCTTACGATACAAGTACCCATGTCTTACAAGGCCCGATCTATCAGACATACAGCCTGGAGGATATATGAGTCGAGGTTATGTACGCAAATCAAGACTATGTTTACACTTGTGCCCACAGAGGCCGCGGAAGCTCCCCACCCGGTTGGATCACGGCCTCCTGGCGGCAGCTCGTCGAGTGTCCCGGCGGTGCAACGAGTCCCGGCCGGCTTCCCGGAGCAGGCGGGTAGAATCCCACGTACGCTTCGCGGCGCGCGGGTTTGCCCACCGTGACTGACCATGTGTGCAACCCGTAGTAGGATGCGATGGAGTGCACAAGCCAGCGACTGGGGGGCGAACATTTGTCAGTAACAATCCGGAGGTCTGATAAAACTAAGGGTTCAACTTACCCGAATCCCGCGGCGCGATCGTCTAGGTCGCTTTCGAGCACCATCTTTTCCCCGTCGCGCTCGTTGTGGGAGCTCATGGCCTCGCGGATCTGATGGAGTTTGTCCTTGCGCGCAGGCGAATCGTGCATCTGTCCGTTCCTGCCCACGAAGACAACCTCGTCTTCCGACTCCTCGTCTGACCACTGCGGTGCGTCTGCTAGGCCCTCGCTTTGGAGGAGGGCTTGCTTCTCGCTCCACTTCTGGATGAACTGTCGGATATCCTCCTCGAGGTCCTGGAGCATCCCACGCGCCGCACGGGCACGCTTCAGTCTCAGACGCAGTTCCCTCGGGATGTGGTGTTTCCCATCGTTTGTGTCGCCTGCTGTGTGATGATCCACATGCGCATAATGAACATCCCAAAGAGGAGCGAGATAGTAGGGCATCGGGTCATGACGAGTGTAGGTCGGCTGGACAGTCCAGTCATTGGGGGATGGCGGCTCTGCCCACGGGTTATGCAGAAGTCGATCTGTGAAGAGACAGTCAGCAGCCGTCCCAGCATTGCCCGAGAACCAAACCAGTAGCACGAGCAAGGAAAGACGGCAACTCCGGGTCTATCGGAACGTACCATTCTCCCAACGCTGTCTGCGACGGCTTCCGTCTTTCCCCTTCAGCAACGCCTCTCGCCGTTTCAGATTGTCGCGGCGAAGTGGCTCACGGCGCCGAAAACTGACTGTCGGGAGCTTAGTCGCAGGGGCAGAGCGGTCTTCGGTGTGGGGGACTGGGTCATCCAAAGGGATCGACAGCGACACCGTGGCTCCGCGCAAAGCCGAGCGGGTGGGTGTCGCCTGCGATGCCGGGTCGTCCACCAGACGGGGTTCAGACAAGGTCAGATTCTCCAGAGACACCGCAGCCTGTTCCGACCATGCGGAAATCGCACGGGTTTGATGGGGCGATAGACCTCCATTGGAGGGTTCTTCGGAGCGCAAAGTCGGGTGGATGGCCATTGCGGGCGAGACGAGTTGCTACTAGGCAATACTTCGCTCGACGGGGTTGAATGATATCAAAACCTAAGGAATTGCAGTCGCGGCGGGTGTCTGCTTGAATCCCAGACGTCTATATAGACCAATAGATCGGAGATGGAAGAGACTCTGAGCAGGGAGAGGGATGGATGGGGAGTGCCAGATAAGAGATACCGGTCGCGTCCGACGGGGGGCGCGGGCGCGGCGACGGAGTAGCCCGATCGGGACTAGCGTTTAAGACTGACTCACCAAATCCGAGCATGAGATCAGTCACGGGTTGCTTATTGGTTCTCCCTGCAGCCCTAGCCCTAATCCGTTGACTCAATATCTTGTTCTTCGTGTTATGAAGCTGGTAATGAGTCTTTCTGGGTCATACTTGGTGGGTCTTCCATGATACATGGCGTTGGTCCAGCAATGCTGTGATTTCAATTGTAGTCAGAAGAAGAGGGGAAGGATATTGGATACAGGTTGGCAGGCCTGAGGCTGCCAACAGGAGCAAGTCCACTGGATTCCTGAACGGTCGGATGGAACTCAATCTTTACGATCGGGGTACTGAATACTTGATGTAGCACTAGATAAGTCTAGGTCCATGCAAGCGGCTAGCAATTATTACCCAGGTACGACCCAACTGGGAGGGATAGTGACCCGTCCGGTCCTCAACCCGCTCTGTGACGCAATAAAAGGGCCGTCCTCACATGTGCCTTCTGCAATGTTACTACCCACGCATCGGTGCTCGCTGGTACAAATCATTATAATTACCTAGTACCCCGTGCACTCACCATTCTCCCCTGGTTTTAATCACAAGATTTTATCCAGGATTGACACTGCGAACCTAAAGACTCCGCCGCTTTGGACCGCGGTTACCCCAGACCGGGCCTTACTTGACTAACTTGTTAGTCATTAGCGCCCCCATCTGCTGACCGTCTCAAATGCGGAGTAACTAGCTAGTTACTGCTTATTATCATTCCCCGTGCCAACTCATCTTCAAGGCTTCGTTATTTAATCTGTTAGGGGCTACTGCAACAAGACACCTACAGCATCTGACTCGCGTCCTTGTTTGTTGAGACCCGTGGATGCTTATATACTACTCCTGAACTACCCTTCTCATTCTACGTCATGAAGGGTCGGGTAGCGTTTGCGCTGAGCGCAGTCGCTTCATCTGCCTTGGCCTCTGTGATCCCGCAGCAGCAAGTATTGACGAATCCGCAAATTCATCATGCGGAAGAGAAATATCTAATTGAGCTGGCCCCTTATCGGACACGATGGGTGACGGAAGAGGAAAAATGGGCGCTTAAGTTGGTGAGTCTACCATTTCCCCCAAGACCGTGTAGCCTTACGCTTATGGCTCGCTGACCGTTTCGTTTGATCTATTAGGACAGCGTCAACTTCATTGATATCACTGCGGAGCGGAATACCGGTGTCTATTCTAGTCTAGATGCTGCTCCTACCGTTTCCTACCCACCAAAGATGGAACATTCCGAGCAAGTCTCCGCGCTTTCGCAGCGCCTGTCCAAGGACAACATGAAGAACAACCTGGAAAAGTTTACTTCGTTCTACACTCGATACTACAAGTCCCAAACGGGTGTGGAGTCAGCGCAGTGGCTCTTCGACCAAATCCAGCAGGTTCTTGCGGAGTCGGGCGCCATCGACCACGGGGCTACCGTCAACAAATTCGCTCATTCATGGGGCCAGTTCAGTATCATTGCTCGCATCCCCGGCCAGACCAACAGGACTGTCGTGCTGGGCGCCCATCAGGACAGCATCAACCTGTTCCTCCCCTCCCTCCTGGCTGCGCCAGGTGCTGATGACGATGGCAGTGGAACTGTCACTATCCTGGAGTCCATGCGTACTCTGCTGCAGTCAGATGACATGGTCCAAGGGAACGCACTCAACACGGTCGAGTTTCACTGGTACTCAGCCGAGGAGGGCGGCATGCTGGGCTCGCAGCAGATCTTCTCCAAATATAAAGACTACAAGCGGGATGTCAAGGCCATGCTTCAGCAAGACATGACGGGCTACACCAAAGGGGCTCTGAGCGCTGGTCGGGAAGAAGCCATCGGGGTCATGGTCGACTATGTTGACCAGGGACTGACCACATTCATGAAGAATGTCATCGCCGAGGTAAGTTACTGATGCCTTGCTCTCCGGTTTGACGTGTACCTAACTCTCTTGGGCAGTACTGCGATATTGGCTTTATAGAGACGAAGTGTGGCTACGCCTGCTCGGACCACACCTCAGCTAGTAAATACGGCTATCCAGCGGCCATGGCCACGGAATCGGAGATGGAAAACAGCAACAAGAAGATCCACACGACCGACGACCAGATCAGCCATTTGAGCTTTGATCACATGCTGCAGCATGCGAAGCTCTCACTTGGCTTTGCCTATGAGCTCGCCTATGCGCCTTTCTGAGGCAGGGCTATCTATACCTTGATTTATGTCGGCCATTGGAGTTATAGGCCTTGCAGATTCCCCCATACATAGAATCTATGTAGACATGGTATCGACTACGTATTACGAACAATCCCATAATTTTGCGCTAGAGGCCTTGACCATCTTATCGCTGAGTGACTCCCTGTAGCCTTTAGTCTGTACTGGCAACAAATTATTACGCGAGGGTTAAACCGGAAATGGAACCCAAGTGGACCCCCGCCCGTCAGCTGCTGCTCTTCCCCCCCTCCGCCAATCGATGATTTGATCCTTCAAGCAGACTCGAGTTTTTTCCAATTGATTATCTGCCAGATCTTGTCGGAACCAGATCTTGTCTTGGAGAGGCAGCTACTAAGCTATTTTTTAGGCAGTTAGCTTCTTTCCTCTATTTTTACGACGAGCCCCACTGTCTGACTCACTCATTGTGTACCTTCAATCCGTCCGGATCGCATGCTTTTGACCCTCATTCTTCCACAACAGACCTAGAAGCTGGAGATTGGAGCTCCCTCTAAGCCTTTCAATTGCAATCCTACAATTCTACGGATGATCAGTCGGTGTTAGGCCCAGGGCGAGTCCCTTTGTTGAAAACTATCGGTTACCATACAACCCACCCATCCTGCATTGCATTTGTGCGAAGATTATATCTTCCGGCGAATTCTCAATATTCCAGCGATCATCAATCTGTTCATCTAAGATCCGAAGCGCCGACCGTGGGCAGCACCGAACCGATATTCCAAATCCGGACCATCCTACGTCATCATGGAGTTGACCAAACCCTACGGGAAAGAACTCCAGATCGCCTGTCTAGCTGTCCAGAGAGCTACGCTTCTGACCAAGGAAGTGCTCCGGGCGGTAGACAAGGGCAGCCTCGACAAAAGCGACTCGAGCCCGGTCACCATCGCCGATTTTGCCGCCCAGGCACTGATCATCGCCGCCGTGCATCGGAATTTCCCCCAAGACACCTTTGTGGGCGAGGAGGATGCGACGGCCCTCCGGAACAATCAGAACCTCCTCGAGAGGACCTGGCAGCTGGTCTCCTCGGTCCATCTCGACGACCCGGAGAGTGAAGCGCTGTTATATACCCCGGCCACCAAGGATGAGATGCTTCAGCTGATTGACCTGGGCGCCCAGGGCAGCTGTGCCCGTCAGGGTCGCACCTGGGTTTTGGATCCCGTGGACGGCACGGCGACCTTCATACAAGGCCAGCAGTATGCTGTGTGCCTTTCTTTGGTGGAAAACGGGTGCCAACGGCTGGGCGTCACGGGATGCCCGAACCTGAACATCGACGCGGGTCGGATACAGGAGGACGTTGTGGATCGAGAGGGCTACGGCTACCAGGTGTATGCGGTCGCCGGAAAAGGCGCGTTCCTCCGTAAGATGGGCAGGACGAGCCTACTTCCGTCTACACGCATCGAGCCCAAGCGGCAGATTACCGAACCCCAGGATATCGTGATGGTGGATTGCATGGCAGCCGAGTCGACCGACTTCGACAAGCATAGCCGTTTTGCGTCTCTCATCGGCGCACCCTGGCCCCCTACAACGGATCTCTGGGCTACACAGCTGCGGTACATTGCGATCGCCGTGACGGGCTGCAACTGTTTGGTGAAGTTGCCGCGCAAGCCCACCTACCGATCGAAGATCTGGGACCATTCGGGCGGGATGCTGATCGCCCAGGAATTAGGGTGCGTCGTGAGCGATCTTGCCGGGAACCCGGTTGACTGTGGGCTGGGAAGATCCTTGGAGGGATGCTACGGTATGATTGTTGCGCCCGCTTCTATCCACGGTCGTCTGGTCGAGGCAGTGAAACGTATTACTTAAGTCCCGGAGGAGACGAAGTGACACGTTGAAGGAGGACAAGACCACACTGTGCTGGCTCGCAGGGAAACAAAACAAAGGAAACCAGGTATTAAGCGAAACATATGGAATCATCACGCATATCGCTGTCCAGCGGATCTGCTGTACGCCGTTAGTAGAGTAGTGGTGAGCAGGGCCGTGCGCAGATCGACGACATGGGGAAGTTGGTCAGTCTCGCATATCCAACAGTACACCCAGCTCCTCCATGGGCTCCAGTTCAACCCCATCAGTAGTTGGCTCCTGTAGCACGCTGGATGTAGAGAAATTCCTGCAAATCGCCCGCCAACTTGTTCTTGACCTAGGACCCAGCCATGCTTCCATGACGTCATGATCCCAGCGTCCCCACTTCTCAAAGGTACATGATGAAATCGTCCCAAGAGCTCTTATCACTATGGTGACTATCAGGGCCCGAAAATCAAGAAAGTCAGCCCCATAGACACCAGGCAGCTTGATTCATTGGGACAGAAAGAGGTAACGACCGTCCCACCAGTGCCCCACTTGGGGTCCTTGCACCCATTCAAGTCTTGCGGTCTGGCCAGTGAGGATGAATTTGCCAATGTCAGGAGATCAAACGATGATGCGGGGTGCAGATGGGCTTTTTTCTCTTTTTTATCTGAAGTGCTACTTACCTGACGGATCCTTGCTTCTTTCAACCCCTCCGTGACATCGATCGGTTTGATTGTGGATTGATATTGATACCTGGTTCACCTCTTTTATCGGACAGCTGGTCGCTTTGAGTGGATTCATCTTCCTTTTCTATCTTACTTCTAACATATTGCAAATAATTGGTGATACGTGGACTGCCTTTTCCTCGCCATGGGCTTCTGTAAGTGGTTGTCTCTACTACGTCCTGATCAATATTGAGGAATCTGGGTGCTGACCACAGTGTCTCGTAGATAATCCCTTCGCTAAAAGGGAATCGCATGGACGCATCTCCCTGACAAGCCATCGTGTTCTCGTTCCCCTCTCGTGGGCTCTGGTGCTCATCGTGGGCCTCTACTATACCGTCAACTCCCCAGACGATGTCAAGCACGGCCATAAGCTCTGGAAACAGGCGAACAAGCACACCACTCCGTTCAGCCTGAACACCACCATCACCGAGATCTACTGGTATGGCCACCACCCTCCCTCATTCCTCCATCGAACTTCAAGCTAATTGTGTAATTCTCAGGATTCTCCTCCTCCTCTCCCAGCTCAGCTATGTCTACCACCTCTTCCACAAGGACGCGGCAATCGTGTCCGCCACCGCCAACGTCGGAACCCATTTCATCCTGAACAACCTCTTCGTCTTCGCCTGGATCCTGCTCTGGACCCGCAACCACTTCTGGGGCTCCGAGATCATCCTCATGGCGCACTTCGTCAACCAGCACGCGACCTACTGGCGCCACCGCACCCTGCCACCGCTGGTGCACCTGTCCGCCGTCGCGGGGCCCTTCGCCTGGACACTGGTGGCTCTGTTCTGGAACGGCGCGGTCGCCGTCCACAGCCACGGGCTCGCTGCCCGCATCGCCGCTAACGTCTTCATCTGGGTGATTTTCTTGGTCGGCTCGACGCACATTTCTGTCGGCAAGGACGACCTTCTGGGCTATTGCCTAAGTTTCTTGATGCTCGGTGAGTTGTTCTCGTTCCGGGGTTGAGTCCGTGTGTCTGGATAGTCCCTCTAACCCGTTGTTATAGGCCTCGCTGTCGAGCAGATCACGATCAAGATTATCTCGCTGCAGTGGATCTTCGCGTTCGTCATCTTCGCTATCTTCATGGTGGAGTCGCTTTATATCTCCGGTATGAAGTACTCGAACCGCGACGCTTTCTTCCGCCAGATTATTGCGCCCTCTGAGTCTGCGGACCGTGAGAGAGAGCCGCTGCTTAATGACCCGGTTTAGATGCCTCGTCTGTAGAAAGGGGGACTGGGGTCAGAGTGATTTCCCGGAGATGACTGCACATTCACCTTGTTCTCTCGAGCTTTGAGGAGCAAGGTTTGTGGTCTTGTCTATGCTCTATTGCTCTAGCCAAAGGGGAGTGGATGGCAGTACTGACACAGCTAGTCCTAGATAGCTCCTATGGGGCGTGGGACTGCCACTGGTTTCAAAGTCCGCTGTCTCTTATGTTTGCTTGTGAATTTTATGATGTGGGAGAAGGCAGTTCTCAGTTAGAGAACAGATGTGACACTTGTACTACTGTACTTGAGTGGAAAATATTTATTATGAACAAAGATTGTACCTTAGCTCTATGGTTTACGTTGCTTATGTGGATTAAAAATGAATTACCTATGAATCTCATTATAGGGGGACAGTAGTTATACAATTTTAATAGATTGAAACTACAGGTATCTCTGACATATCCTCTGATACTTAATCCCCTTTCTATCTGGCTCTAGGTGCCTAGCTGCTCAGGAACCAAAATCAGTGTGGAGTTGGCGGGGAATAAAGCCTGCAATAGCAATGGGTCATGTCTTGACCCCTTGATTTCTGTCTTGATCTCATTTATGGTTTGATTTACTCTCTTGTACTTTTATCTATCCCCTTCTATGTTTATTTTGGTACACTGAACGCTTGGACTGGTCTGTGACCTGGAGTGGATACCATACGGAGATCATGGCCCAGTTTCCGTGGTTCGGGCGTCTCGATCGTGAGATCGGACTAGTATCATTGTTATTGTTTGCAAAGAGTTCCTCACTGTAAACCCCCTGGGTTGATTGCCCTAGTAGAGATGGAAATTGTTTGCCTCCCACGACAGAGCGACTAGAGCTAATCAGCGACATAAATGCAGAAAGGGAGTTGGCGCCGCAAGGGTTGAGTTGACTCGTGTGAGCCGATCCCGCGTTACCGGGGCGACCGCCATCGTCACGATGAACTTCTCCACGCGGGCTGCGGTCCAACCAAGGAGATCCGGATATCCACAACGTGAGATTTAGTAATTATTATCCGTTGCGATTGATCGTTTAGAAGCGCCGGGGTGGAAGGCAGAATCTCCACTGAGACATTCGTCGAGTGGGCTTTTCTGTTGCACTTTTATCTATCTCCCTACCTACCCACCTACCTTCCCTTCCCTGTGTCTTTCCGACTGTTGTGTATAGATCTTTATCGGCTGGGTTTATAAAGAGCTGGTCTGGATCAAGCACACTAGTGACTGACTTGCGAGGCTGTTGCCTATTGTTGTTGTCTTGCATTTGGGCATAACATTCCTGACTGACGCCCTGCCCCTCTCCCAAGGCGGCTTTGTTTACTTCTCCCATCTACCAGTGAGTGACATTCTTCTTCTTTCACCTCCCAGAAAAAACTTTGAGAAGCTCACATTCTGTCGTCAATCTTAATCCAGAACCCGATAATCACCTGCCGACGGAGTAGTTTCGGACGAAACGGCAACACACAGCACCAGAGACACGACCGTCTCATCACCTGTTTCACACGCGCAACTGGCCATTGGATAGCATAGGTAGTGGAATGGACTGAGTAAAGTCTCAACCGCAACCATGAATCCAAATCGCGTCCCGGTGCGAAAATACGAGGAGGAACCTCCAGCGTACAGCTCATATACCGGCGACACGGCCTCGTATCTCTCCGATAATGAATCCCCGACGTCAACCCGTGCCAATGGCGCCACGATGCGGTTGCTGCCAACGAGCGGCGATCTAGACGATAACCATAGTGCGGACGTGGGGGCGAGGTCGACTTATCAGTATGATGATCCTGATCCTTTTGGAGATGACGCTGCGTAAGTTGAAACCCGTGTCTTGTTCTCTTCTTTTGTTTTTGTGCCTACATGCCGATGAGAGCGACTGGCATGCGTCTCCACCGTGCACCATTCTTGCTGTCTTGCCCTACACCGAGCCAATCAAGACACTGAAGAGATGAGCTCAACGTGCTCGACGGCTTAAATGTTGGGTCTTGGTTGGCGCTGGTGTTTTGTCCTGTCGTCGCCCCCCCCAACGGATGACCGTGGCGGTCTCCGTATCTATTTACACATTTACTTGAGGGTTCTCTTCTCAACCTGGACTGGTTTACACAAGTGACCACACCTAGTAGCTCACTTGCGTCGCTATACAGTCAGGAAAATGCCTCGCAGGAGACTTTTGACTAACGGAGATGGCCTTGAACGCAGAACTGAACATACCCGATTTTACGCACCTACGGATTTTACTCCCTCACGACCGGCCTCGAGTCTCGGAAATGTGCCCACGATTCCCCCGCCGACATCCTCCATGGCAGATGGATTCCACTATTCCTCCCGCCCAGCGTCGCCCTCTCGACCGTGGTCTCCGTCCCGTGTCTCCGGATGGACGAGGCCCACATCGGCCGCGGGCACACACTACGAACGCGCCGACCTCAATGGCAGCCCGCGCCCAGGTACCCCCAGCTCCAGGTACGGGGGCAGTCCGAGAAGGCCGTTGCCGCCAGCGCCATTGTTTGCCGCTCCGGGATCAACCACAGGCGGACAGGACGCGAGCATCGATATCGGCGATACGACGGAACATGATGACGATGTGTTCGGAGGTGGAGGAAGGCGAATCCGCCGTGATCAACGTGGTAGCGTACGGTCATTCATGAGCGACTCGACCGCGATCACGGACGAAAAGGACATGGAGAAGGTCAATCTGGATGACGATGAATCAAGCAGCATGGTCGATCCGAACATGCACTACGGCCCCGCCCCAGAGAAGCAAAGCCGCCGCGGTGTTCGGGATGCGCTGGTGTCGAAGAAGGAAGTTCAGCTAGTCAACGGTGAACTGATCCTCGAGTGTAAAATCCCCACGATTCTGCATTCTTTCCTGCCTCGTCGCGACGACCGTGAGTTCACACACATGCGCTACACGGCGGTGACCTGCGACCCGGACGACTTCACCCAGAGAGGATACAAGCTGCGCCAGCAGATCGGGACCACCACGCGCGAGACCGAACTGTTCATCTGCGTCACGATGTACAACGAAGACGAGATTGGTTTCACGCGAACCATGCACGGCATCATGCGCAACATCAGCCACTTCTGCTCGCGGTCCAAATCCCGCACGTGGGGAAAAGATGGCTGGAAAAAGATCGTGGTCTGCATCATCGCGGATGGTCGTAAGAAGATCCACCCCAGAACGTTGAATGCCCTTGCAGCCTTGGGTGTCTACCAGGAAGGGATCGCCAAAAACATCGTCAACCAGAAGCAGGTCAATGCCCACGTTTACGAGTACACCAGTCAGGTATCCCTGGACTCCGACCTGAAGTTCAAGGGCGCCGAGAAGGGCATCGTGCCATGCCAAGTACTCTTCTGCCTGAAAGAGCACAATCAGAAGAAACTGAACTCTCACCGTTGGTTCTTCAATGCCTTTGGCCGAGCTCTCCAGCCCAACATCTGCATTCTGCTGGATGTCGGGACCAAGCCCGAACCCACTGCGCTATACCACCTGTGGAAAGCCTTTGACCAGGACTCCAATGTCGCCGGAGCGGCCGGTGAGATCAAAGCCGGGAAGGGCAAGGGGATGCTGGGACTGTTGAATCCGTTGGTGGCGAGTCAGAACTTTGAGTACAAAATGTCCAACATCCTGGACAAGCCTCTCGAGTCTGTCTTTGGCTATATTACTGTGCTCCCTGGTGCGCTCAGTGCGTACCGCTTCTTTGCTCTGCAGAACGACGCCGAAGGCAATGGTCCTTTGAACCAGTACTTCAAGGGAGAGACGCTGCACGGAAAGGACGCGGACGTGTTCACGGCCAACATGTATCTGGCAGAGGACCGTATTCTCTGCTGGGAGCTGGTGGCTAAGAAAGAGGAAAGATGGGTTCTGAAGTTCGTCAAGAGCGCTGTCGGCGAGACTGATGTGCCTGGTATGACGCCCCTTAAGCCCCAACCACGACTCGTGGAAGCTTGAGTATGCTAACGAACGCTTGCAGACACCGTGCCGGAATTCATCTCGCAGCGACGACGTTGGTTGAACGGTGCCTTCTTTGCGGCTGTGTACTCCATTGTCAACGTGAAGCAACTGTGGCAAACGGATCATTCTATCGCACGGAAGATCCTTTTGCAAATTGAATCCGTCTACCAGTTTATGCAGCTGCTCTTCACTTACTTTGGATTGGTGGGTATTCTCTCTCAAGATGTTGATGTAGTACCCGCTAACCGTTGGATAGGCAAACTTCTACCTGGCTTTCTTCTTCATTGCTGGGTCACTGTCAGATAAGAAGATCGATCCCTTTGGTCATAACGTGGGCAAGTACATCTTTATCACCCTAAGATACGCCTGTATTCTGGTCATGTGTCTCCAATTCATCATATCAATGGGAAATCGACCACAAGGGTAAGTCCACCTTTTGTGAACAAACAACTGAATGATACTCACACCTCGCAGAGCCAAGAAACTGTACCTCTCAGGTATCATCGTCTACAGCGTGATCATGGTCTACACCGCATTCTGCGCCCTCTACCTCGTCGTCTTGGAGCTCATGTCCAAAGCCGGCAAAGACGTCGACCTCCCAGTCAGCGACGGCCTCCTCGTGAACATCGTCGTATCCCTCCTCTCAACCGTCGGCCTCTACTTCTACTCCTCCTTCCTCTACCTCGACCCGTGGCACATGTTCACCTCATCCGCGCAATATTTCGCCCTCCTCCCCAGCTACATCTGCACGCTCCAAGTCTACGCCTTCTGCAACACGCACGACGTCACATGGGGCACAAAAGGCGACAACGTGATCAACACCGACCTCGGCGCAGCCCGCATCATCAACGGCTCCATCGTCGAGCTCGAAATGCCCTCCGAGCAACTCGACATCGACAGCGGCTATGACGCCGCCCTCCGCAACCTCCGCGACCGCCTCGAGGTCCCCGAACCCCCCGTCTCCGAAAACCAGCTCCAGGAAGACTACTACCGCGCCGTCCGCACCTACATGGTCGTCATCTGGATGACCGCAAACGTCATCCTCGCCATGTCCGTCTCGGAGGTCTACGGCGTCGAATCTAGCGGCACGAACGTCTACCTCGCTATCATCCTCTGGTCTGTCGCTATTCTGGCCCTCGTCCGCGTCATCGGCTCCACGACCTACGCTGTTCTCCTGCTCGTGCAGAAGATCGTAGAAGGCAAAGCCAAGTTCGACGCCGGCAATATCACCAGCGGTTCCTCCACCGCGACATCCAGTGCTGTCGGGGGGTCCGGGTCGGCGCCTGTCCAGTACGGCGGAGGCGCTACCTTCCGGGATCGGCTCACGGAGGCGAAGTGGAGTATGAAGAGACAGGCTGGGAAGGCCATGTTTTGGAGGAAGTAATCCCACACTTTCTTCTGTTTTACTCAGCTTTTTTGTTGTTTATGTTTGATGTTGGATTCTTTTCTTTTCTCTTTTTCTGATTCCCGATTTTGTTTTTACCCTTTTTTCTGCGCTTTCCCCTCGATGTACCCAATATGTTGGGCTTGATGATTTGCATGATGGATTTGGTTTACTTTTTTTTTCTTTTTCTTTTAACACTACGTGTATGTACTTTGATGACTGGATGGATATAATGACAGGATGTAAATGGTTCTATTCCCTTCCCTTGCTGTACTCTTTGTAGTCACCGTCTGAGTAGACACACCTAGTTACATTGACTGAATGGAGGAAAGGAACGGAAAGAGAAAGAGGGCAAAAGACGTCCAAATAAACTCCCAACTAAACAACCTTCGTCCCATCCAAAACCCCCTTCACCAACCCAGCCGCCGCAAGAGTCTCCTCATCCCTAAAATGCTTCCCCGTCAACTGCAACCCAACCGGCGCCCCCTCATACCTCTCCGGCGCGTACTTCGCCCACTCCCTCGCATCGACCTCACCGCGCGGCTGGTACGCCTCATCGACAGCATCCAGCGCAGGGTCCACGAATAATCCACTGGGAAACACGACGGCCGGCTGGTCCAGGATGTTCCAGATAGCCGTGTAGTTCCAGTAGTGCGATTCGCCCATCACGGCCGCGACGCCGACGTAAGCGGGCGAGAGGATGAAGTCCACGTTGCGGGATTTCATCAGCGCGTGGTACTCGTCGCGGTAGGTGTCGCGCTGGGTGTTGAGGGTCCAGGTTTCGGAGATGGTTAGGGGCGTTGGGCGGGAGTAGCTGAAAGCCCATTCTGTTAGGGGGAGGGCGGGCTCGCCTGAGGTGGCGAGGAGGTTGCGTTGGCTGGAGGCTGCGTCGGGGAAGTACATGGATGACTGGTGGGATGGAGAAGTAGGGTTAGTATGGAGGGTAGGGGAAGGTGGATTGGAGGGAGGGAAACGTACGATTATGTCCCAGCCGTGGGCGTGCTTGTAGGGCTCCCAGTCGAGGACTTTGATCCCTGCTGCTTGGAGCTTGGATTTGGCGTGTTTGAGGGCTCGCGTGATGGGTGGGTGAGGATGGACGACGCTGTTATTGCATCAGTTATTTCACCTTTTTCTTCCGTTTTTGTTCATTTTCTTCTATAGTACGATGGAAAGAGGCATACCCATCGTCCCACATGATAGCAACCGTCATCCCCTTGTTCGGCTGCACTCTCTTCCACGGCACTGGCACCAGTCCCGTCTCCTGGTCCCACGGTTCTTGGTCGAGCACTGCGCGCTGGAACAGGTCTAAATCCTCGATGCTCTGACTCGCAAGGGGCCCCACGACGCCCAATATAGCTTCTTCTCCCGGTTCCGGGATTTTGAGTCCCGTGCATGGGTTGCGGCGTGCCGTCGGCCGGAACCCGTATGCGTTGCAGAATGCCGCTGGGGAGCGGATCGAACCCCCGATGTCGGTGCCGATACCTAGAGGGGCGCACTTGAAGCCCATTGAGGCACCTTCGCCTCCAGAGGAGCCACCTGGAGTTAGAGTTCTATTATATGGATTGACTGTTGCCCCAGTAAGGTTGTTGCTGCAGCAGAGGTGCTGGTTATTGTTAGTTTGTTCAAAGGTACATTGACAATGGTAGGGTGGTGTTACCATGAGAGACTGAGGCTGGTTGGTGCGCACGTGAAAAACAGCACCTGCTCTCTCAAGATACTTGAGGAGGAGAGCATCTTCTGGTGCGACGTCGTTTACCCTGGTGGATAGGGTTAGGTTGCTCGTTCAACGATGACGGGGAGTAGTGTACCTACCATGCTACGTAGCCGGCGTTGCAGGTACGGTTCTTGACCTGGATGTGTTCCTTGACGCTAATGGGAACGCCATGCTAGATATCCCCTGTCAGTTGGTCCAAATTACTGGTTACTATGAGTATTTCTACCTACCAGAGGTCCAACAACCCTGCCTGTTTGCTGGTAATACCGGTCTAGTTCCTTGGCGCGAGCGATTGCCCTATCCGCCATGAATTCGGTAGCAAAGTTGAGCTATAGCATGTTAGAAGAGATGCTACCAACATGTGTGAGTAAACACACCAGCTGATGCCCCAGCACAGCTCTTTTCAAGAATGATACCACCACTTCCTCTGCGCTCAGAAGCCCGGCGGTCATTCCGTTGACTAAAACTGTGGCGGACATGCCAGTGAGGGACAGCTCACGATCGCTCAGAGCGCCGCTTCGTGCAGCAAAATCCTCGACATTCTTTTGATCGGCGGAGGGTAGCTTATGTTCCGGAAGGAGCCACTCCCTGGGAACGGATTCCTGGAGGATATCCTTTGCTTTTTGCGCCTGTTGCTGCCAATTCTGAATGGCCATTTTGACTGGTTTGGTGAGGGTCTTTCAGGTGTGGAAAGAGAATAATGTAAGTAAGTGAAAAGAAGAGAATTGAAACAGTCGTGATCAGACTATTTATTGCACGTCTAGTAGGATGATAGTCAGCAAGGGAGCGACGGGTGCTGTACCATCTATCTGACAGCGCCTAGGTTCGAGGCTTTGTCGGCTTCTCGATGCGGGGATGAACCAGGAATCATTCTCCAATTCGGTTTATCGGGGATGTAATCCAATGGCATTGGGGAGACGCAGGTGACACTCCTCCTTGCTATCTAGAAGTGGGGGACGCCAGTGGATATGTTGATCATTGGTCTGGGTGGAGTCCACTGCGGAGGATGCATAATACAGGAGATAATGGAAACTGGAGGTGCTGAGTGAACTGATTGGCTGGTGAAGTGTCAATATGCCTATCGTTCACTCGATTGTAGTACAGATTCCTTGGTTTAAGGATTTGCAACCCAAGCCCTCGAGACATGGGAAAGGACGAAAGAAGAGAGGAAGTTGGAAAGTTTGGAGTTTGAAGTCAGTGGAATATGGACGGAAAGGTTCCGCCACCACCGGAATTGAATTCCCTCTATCAAGATGTCCTCACGTGTCCCTCGCCCTCTTCTTCTTCTTCTTTTCTACTTCTCTCCTTTCTTTCTCTCTGTTCCTGCTCCAAATCCCTTAATCCGGCCCACAGCACATCAACTCTTCACACGTCGTCCCACACATCATCTGGCATTTCTCCCGGCATATTGTTCCCCCAGTCATCTCCTTGACCTCAAAGCCGATCACTGGAGCAATTTCAGGCTGGAGAGTCACTGAATGAACTCCGTACGCGTGAAAGCATTTTCTGATAACCTTGGTCATCTCCTGGAATTGGCCCATTGAGGGCTCGGAAACAACAATATGTACAGATGCCAGCGTTTTCTGCTGGTTCAACTGCCAAATGTGGAGGTCATGAGTCGAGAGAACGCCAGGAATCTGTATTGGGTGTGTTAGCTAGCCGATTGATTAAGGCGTATACTGTGGGCCTAAGGTTCCTCACCTTTTCCAGGGTTCCTTTCACCTCCCTTGGGTCGATCTCATCGGGTGAGCTTTCCAACAGGATCAGGCCGGAACGTCGCACTTTGCACCTCATTCTTAGTCACGGTCACAACAGGCTGGCATATGAACCTACCCAGAGGGTATGATGATAGTATAATCATTATGGCAATGCCCATGCTTGTCCCGGGGTCGGCATAGTACCGCCCCTCATAACGAGCCAGCCAAATAACCAATGCCGCAATTATAACTCCCAGGTTATTGGCTGCGTCTCCGATAACATGAAGCAAGACCCCCATCATCGCCAGGTCGTGTCCGCCGGGAGCTGGTCTTGTGGCATGGTCTTGATGTTCGTGGTCATGATGCTTTATATTCTCACATGTTAGATCTCACGAAGTGTCTGAGTAGGGCATATCTCACCTCACACGTCTTCCTTTCCCCACCGCATCCGCTTTCAACAGCAGTGATTGGGTCCTCCAGCGCGGGTACATGCTTATGACTATGACTGTGGTCATGATCATGACCATGGTGGTGATGCTCTGTCACAGGTTAGTATCAAACCCCTCTCGTAGCTTATCTATTTTGCAGAGGACCAATACCGTGCAAGAATGTGACACTGAGAATGTTTAACCCCAATCCAATGCACCCCATTATAAGCATGAGCTTTGGATTCTCCACCCCTAAGGCACATGAGCAGGGGCATCTCCGGAGGAAGGGTAGACCAACGACTGGGTGTGACAAAGCGCTCTATAGATTGCAAAAATATGCTGATCCCAAGCCCCAGGAGAAGAACACCATTGAAGAAGGCACCCAAAAGCTGGGCCCTCTGCCATCCGAAAGAAAGGGAATCAGGCGATTCTCCACTTTCCGACACCTGGGATCACATCAGCATCAGCATGTTTGCCTCAATCTGCAGGTTGCAACGTACCCTGACAGCCACCAAGGCGACTACGAAGCCGACCAAATCACTTAGCTGGTTCTGTTAACAATTGCACTTGCGCCGCCGCGATAATAGACACAATCATACATAATGAAACGCATCAGCAACCAAAGCAAGTGAATGCGTATAGAATCCAACTGCATCTTCAATTTAGCAGGGTGTCTTCGCGAGCAAAAGCCTCAGAATATGTGGAAGGTCATTACCTGCAATCTCGCTAATGAAAAAAAGAGAGGCAATTACGATCACTGCGCTCAAGCGCTGAGAGCGCGACACCTTGAATGCCATTGCCTAATGTTCAGTTTGACGAGACCGAGGAACAATCACCTCAAGAAATTTTTAAAATAGACGCCAGCTCTTGCCCGTCGCGTCTCTTCCCGTCGACTACCTTGCCTTTGATCCAAGTGGTCAAATATCGTGTGGCTAGGTTGGAATGCGTGAATACCAAGAGGGCGCTGGGAAATCCTGTCCAGGAATGGGAGAGGGCTAATTCGTCCTTTTCAATTACTCGTGATTATGATGCCAGCATATGAGGCGGCTCGAGCAGTATTCCACGGAGTAATCACCATTGAAATGTATGTTCGCAACTGTACTAATCACGTTGCGCATCGTATATCACATGCAGTGTTACATTGCAATTTTAGTCCATATTGATTTCAAAACAAGCAAGAGAGGACAGGAAACAACTTGGGAAAAAAAAGAAAATATATATATACAAGGAAAAGGAAAATAAAGCAACACTTTCTGCGGAAGATTCCATGTCTTCAGTGGACCTCCATTCTGTATAGCAAGGGGTGATTGACTTCATTACTAAATACATTATAGTTACACTAACACATGATCATATCGTCATTAGGACAATTCAGGCGGCGACCTCGTCGATCAATCCTTCCAGTTCTCTCTGCCAGTTTCTATGTCGGGAAATATGCCAGATAAACTGGTCCGCGAGCCCCTTGCTGTCCTTGGAGATAGTCGCGGAAGCCTTGAGCAAGTCCGACGGAGAGCCCTGACCAGTGACAACACCATAGCTCTCGACTACCTGACCAGAAGACGCAGTCTTCACGGGGCCCAGGTTAATCTGCCTCTGGATAAAATCCACAGCTTCGTTAACACCAGCAATCGGCTTCAAATGGGCAAAAGACTCCGTCACCCAGTACTTCGCAATCCCATTCTTCGCCAGCGTCGCGATATGTTTACCCCCCGGGATAAACGTCGCGTCGAACAGGGTAGACCGCATTCCTGGGAAGTGATGGTCGGGGATAACCTTTTCGCCAGACTCGGCGATCACCCCCTGCCGCTGCGAGCCGATGGTAACAACGAACGCGTGGCGGTCCTGCAAGGCGGTCTTCATTCCGATATACGAGGCGTGGTCAAAGCCGTCGGCGATCAAGATTGCAACTTTGCGCGTGTTTATCACGGCCGTTGCGGGCTCGTAGTCGGTCTGACTCAAGCCCTGGGCGGTCTGCCCCTTGTTTTTCTTCGATGCCTTGGTCGGCGTGTCCCCACCCACGTTCTTGGCCACTGTCTTCGCCAGCTCGAGGTCGATAAACGTTAGACGCTCGGAGAGACGCTTGTACACGATTGGGTCGTCGCAGTGGTCCAGCTCGAAGGAGAACGCCTTGGCCGTGTGCATCTTCTCAATGGGCGAGAGCGAGTTGTAGTACATCTGCGCCTGGTTGTAATGCTCCTTGAACTTGTCCGACAACCCGCGGGCTTTCACGCCCTGCTGCTTCTCGGGGTAAGTCGCGAAGCCGCCCTGCGAGGGATCCGTGGGCGGGTTCGCCTCGTAGCGGTTGGGCCAGTAGTTCACCTTGCCCTTTGTGATGCGGTGTCTCATGGCGCCGTCTCGGTTGACGAGGCTCATGTAGGGACACATGGGGCGGTTGATGGGGAGTTCTTCCCAGTTGGGACCGAGACGGGATAGCTGGGTATCGAAGTAGGAGAAGTTCCTACCAATCAGGAGAGGGTCGTTGGAGAAGTCAATTCCGGGGACGATGTGGCTCGTGCAGAACGCGACCTGCTCCGTCTGCGGGAAGTACTCGTCCACGTTTCTGTTGAGCTCCAGCTCGCCGATGTACTCAATGGGAACCTGGTCTTCAGGCCACACCTTGGTCGCGTCTTGGATGTCGAACTCGAAGTCGTCCATTTGGCTTTCCTGAAGCACTTGGATGCCGAACTTCCACTTGGGATACTGGCCCGCGTCGATGGCGTCCATCAGATCCTTGCGGTGAAAGTCGGGGTCCTGCCCGCATATCTTCAGGGCTTCGTCCCAGACCAAAGAATGGACGCCCAGTTCAGGCTTCCAGTGGAACTTGACATAGACGCGTTCTCCCTTCGCATTGACAAGACAGTAGGTATTGACACCAAACCCCTGCATCATGCGAAGCGAGCGCGGGATGGCCCGATCAGACATAATCTAACTCATTAGCCACTCTTCTCCCTCCCTCAAAGCAAAAAAATAGAGATTAAAAAAAAACATACCCACTGCTGCATATGCGCCGTCTCACTATGCAACCCCTGAAAGTCCCAAAAATTATTATGCGCACTCTGACCCTGCGGAATCTCATTATGCGGCTCCGGCTTCACCGAATGAATAACATCCGGAAACTTGATCGCATCCTGGATGAAGAAAACCGGGATATTATTCCCCACAATATCCCAGTTCCCCTCAGCCGTGTACATCTTGACCGCGAACCCGCGCACGTCGCGCACTGTATCCGCGCTCCCCTTGCTGCCCTGCACCGTCGAGAACCGCACGAACACGGGCGTCTCGCGCGCTGTGTCGTTCAGTACGCCTGCGCTGGTGTATTCTGGGATGGGTCTGTGGAGTTTGAAGGTCCCGAAGGCGCCTACGCCGCGGGCGTGCACGACGCGCTCGGGGATGCGCTCGTGGTCGAAGCGCATTATCTGGTGTCATTAGCATCCATAACACTAAAATACCGCTGTAAAGCAATCATAAGGCTGAATATGAAAGAAAGGAAGATAGAGATATACCTTCTCCCGCGCAATAGGATCCTCTAACAAGCTAGGCCCGGTGCGCTTCTCGTCGACTACCCGCAGCCAGTGATCGGGGTCTGAGACTTTGATGCCATAGTCGGTCGTCATGGGCTGGTTGGACAGCTCGACCGTTTCGTTTTTCATGTCTGCTTGTTTTGCGTCCATGGTGTAGGTTTATAATAGCAATGAACACGAATGGTAGAATGGGGTATAAAGCGTAAGCGTTGTAGTATAGTAGATTGATTTCAACTAAATAATACCGCAGCGATACTTATATAACTTATACAACAGGAATATTGAACACAAATGATGCAATAGATGGATACCCCCCTGGTATGTCCTCCCCACACCTCCTCGGAATACATAGGTCGTATAGTATGATGTTCCTCAAACGTAGACGTCAACAGAAAACAAACTCCTGCGTAGTACCGAAAGCAAACCCGGTTTTTCCATTGTCCAGTACCCCATCTGGCTAGTCCTGTCGATCATTGTGTGTTCAATCCCATGTATCAGCCAGCCTATGGGAGCTTATTTGATTATAACCACACCTGCTATACCTATCTACTATTTAGTGGTAGGTGAATACCTCGGTAGGTAGGTAAGCTGTGTGATTTTATCATATCCCTTATTGACGATGATTATCAGTAGTTATAAATGTAGTGCAAGTGCAGCACTTAGTTATGCTGCGTTTGTGGGAAGTAGGAAGGCGGTTGCGTGTGAATGACGTCATAAGATCGATTATTCAACACGTTGAGTCTGGAATTGATAATTATTAATTCCTTGTGGGTAATAGGAGATTCTTTTCATATATCTGGACATGTATCCGTATGTACATTGACTCAGCGAGAAAAGAAAGGAAGAGAAGAAAAGGAAACGAGAGAGGAAGAGAGGTCAAGGAGGGAGAGTATAAACAAATGAAAACATGGATCACACTGTCTATCTATTCTAGGTTTGTATGTACTATGTAGTTACTACTTCTCCAATCTAACAACCATCTCTTCCCACACACACATCCACACCATCCCCAAACAATCCATAAGAAGGAGGAAGAAGATAAATGATATCACATATTATCCTCACTCCACCGACTCCTACTCTTCAACCAAGCATCATGCTCCTTCTCGCCCGCGCTCTCACTCAACCCCACGCCCAGACCGCGCTCCACCCACTCCTTACTCTCCATCTCAGACAGCCGGGACAGCGCGCGCGCAAACGCAAACCGCTCCTCGTCCCCGCTGAAGATGGAGCTCGTTTTCAGCGCTTGCATCGATAGGCCTAGGTCGTCCATCATCATGCGCATTGCGTCGGACAGGTCGCTGCCGTCTTCGACGGAGCTTTTGATGTCTGTTTCCGAGAGGAAGAGGTTGGTTAGGGGGACTTCGGAGGTGAGGACTAGTTTTGCCTGTTTTAGTGGTCAGGGTGGGTTAGTGGATGTGCACTATAGATGTGGGTATATGGGGGAAGGGCGTTGGGGGGGGGGGTGGGGGTTCCTACCCGACTCTCGTAAACGGCATCGATAAACGTGATGAACCGTCTGGCGAGATCTCGCTGGTTCAGGTTCATCCCCGGTACATCGGTGATGATGAACGCGTCGTAGTTCCTGACCAGTTCGAGGTAATCTGCTGCGCCGGTGGCGCGTCCGATGAGCTGGTCGAAGGTGAATTTCGCGGCCTTGCCGCTCGCGAGGGGCACTTGGATCTTGCGACCCCAGACTTCTTGCGTGGCCGGGTGCGGAGGGTCGTGGACCGGGTCGCCTAGGAAGTCGAACCACTTTTGGGCGTGGCGCTCAGCGTCGGCGCCCAGGGGGTTGTGGTACACGGCGGCTGGGGGGCGGGGGATCTTTCTGTAGTCCGTTGGGGAATTCAGGTTGATTACTTCGAGGGCGGTCTGGAGGAGTTTGATGCAGGGGATGAAGGATTGGCGCTGGATGCCGTTCTTGTAAAGATCGTCGGGGTGGCGGTTGGAGGTGGTGATGAGTACGACACCGTGGGCCATGAGTATTTCGAGGAGTCTGGATCATATCTGTCAGCCTGCGTCGCATAGCATTCTTACATACAACAGATAGATAAGTATACCGCCGCAAGATCATCGCATCCGCCACGTCCGTGCACTGAAACTCATCGAAACACAACACGCTCGATTTTTCAGCAATCTCAGCAGCGACGAGCGGCAGCGCATCGAAATCATTACCATGTTTCATCTTGATCACATGCATCCGCTTGTGCACGTCCTGCATGAAGTTGTGGAAGTGGATCCGGTTCTTCGACGAGATATTCGCCGGGAGAGTCTCATAAAACAGATCCATCAACATCGTCTTGCCGCATCCAACATCGCCATACATGTATAGACCCTTGGGGAGGTCCTCGGAGATGGTCGGTTCATGTTTCTGGGCCCCGCGGCCGAAAAGGGAGCCGAGGAAGGAGGTCTTCGGCACGTCCGGGTCCAACGACTCGATGCTGGGATGGACGACGGGGGAAGGGTTGTAGCCTCGCAGTCGCTCGTAAAGGTCTTGTAACCGCTCAATGATTTCTACAGCGCCCCCGGCCTGTTAGCACGTCTCACCTTACCTCGTTCGGCCATAGCCAGCAGTGTGTATGCTTACGTCTCTGGTGGGGGTCGTCGCGCAGGCGTCCCTGCTCGACCCTCGCGCCGTACTCCTTCAGCGGGCCACCCTCCAACTGCCCCTCTGTGTTCTCGCCGGTTCTGCTGGCGGCCTCCGAGGCGAACCCCCGGATAGAGGGGCGGTCCTGCAGACCATGCACATACGCCCGGCCGCATGCATGACCGGTCAACGGTGGCGGTGCCCGACGGACATGGTGGACACCTCTTCGGAGGTCTCTGTTACACACCCGACGGTTTCCGCGGAGTGTGGCTGGTCGGATGAGGGCACCGCGGGACGTTCTCAGCGCGCTCGGAAAGAAGTCCGCGCACAGTCTCGCAGGCGTCCCGCTCATTGGCACGAATGGTAGTAAGATATCCGGACAATAAGGCAATCAGTCTATAGATACATGTGTGGGAATATTTGTACAGCGGCGCAATCGGGCGGGGTTTCCGGTACGGTTAATCGGAGTGGAGGAGGATCGTCTGGTCACGCGAGCAGAGGCGGGGAAATCGAGCAAGGTAAACAATCAAGGTAATGAAGGGGGAAGGCCTATATACAGAGAGAGAGGATAGTATAATTAGATTGTGTAGAGTAGCGACAGACTCGCGAGGCGTACACGCGTACAAAACAAAAAGACAGACCGAAGAGTACCTAGACACGCGAGCGAGAGCAAGTCCGATGAAGCGAAAAAGAACCGCGGATGACTTGCCGGCGCATGTCATGTGACCCCGACCGCGGAAATCCGGCAACCAATGAGCTTGAGAACTTGTCTGAACAGCAGAATTACCTTACTTTCTACATTGACTTACTATATTCAATATATAAAGTAGTTCAGAACATGTAGGTAGCGAAGCCTACAGTGGGCTGTATGATATATATATGCAGGGAAAGACTTTATGTACAAGTCACAAGGATGCCGTGGAAAAGGTATGGATATCACAAGCAGCCCTGGCCCACGGGCAACAACAACATCCAAGCAGAACAAATGCAAGTCAAGATCAAACAAGAAATAGAACAGATGGAAGCAAAAAAGAATACAGTGACATGAACATTTCGGGCATCAGTCTTCACATCCATCCGCCCCATAAACCCACCAAGAGAGAAGGGAAAAGAAGCAAAACAAAAGAAAACGAGAATCGGGTAAAAGAGCGCCCAAATGGCCAAGTGCCCAAGCTCAAGAAAATTCATAACACCATGACACCATGCTTCCCCAGGAGACCGGGCAAGTAGAGGGAGAAAAAGAAGAAAAAAAAAAAAAAAAAAAAAACGAATGAACAAATAGAGATCACGCAAGAAGATCACCAAATCTATCGCAAATGTCGATGAAGACAACAAGAAGCCACGAATCTATGCAGGTCCACGTCCGGGCATTTCTTTCCTTCTCTTCCTCTCCGTCTTATTTGAGTTGTTGGAGTTTGAGGGGGATTTTTTTTGGTTTCGATTTCTGGTTGTATTTTTCAGGCAAGCCCAACGTACAGGGTCAGCTTGGAATTGCGCTGGACGGCGGTGTCCAGATCGCTGTCGCTGACCAGGTCGACGTAGGCCCCCGACGGCTCGTCCTTGTACTGCATCACGATCCCGTCTTGGATCTTCAACCGGTCCATGAGCTTTTCGCGTAGCTGTTGCACGGAGATGTCGCTGGGGACCCGGATCGCAATGAGATCGTCTTGGAAGAAGACCTTGACCTTCATGGCGCCGCCGCTCGACGCGGTGGACACCTGCGTGATCGAGCTGGGTTGGCGGTTCATCGACGGGGGAGCTCCATTGAGTTGCGACCCCGATGTTTGGGTCCGCTGGTGAGAACCCGGTCGTTCGGCGTATTGCGCATTCATCTGGGCTTGGGAGGATTGCCGGGACGCACTGCGCGAGACCTCGTGGGCCGACGAATGGTGGGAACCGCCCGAGAATCGAGCATCCTCCCCGAACGCGCTGGGATCAATCTCGAAATCGCCCGGGCGCGGCGCGAACAGCTCGCGCACTAACTGGCACCGACCGATGTGCGCAGGCATGGAGATTAGTTTCTTGATGTACTCGTCCAGGTTTTGCCGGCGGCCGTTGGAGATCGCATCGGTGACGTGGGTGACGGGCCCGGGCATGAACGGGAGCGTTCGCGGGCGGCCGCGGTTCCCCGCCTCATCCTCGAACTGGGTGAGGAGGGCGATCTGGAAGTCGTAGAAATCATGATAATATCGCGACAATTCCCAGCAGCGGCCATCCTCCATCTTCGCCTCGATGATGTACCAATACTTGTCGTTGTCGAAACAATACCGGGGGATCGACGCGGCGATCGGGGCCATGAGCGGTCGTGGGTAGCCCTGCGACGACGACGGCGGCGGCGGCGGCTGGGACAACTGTTGGGACAGCGTTCCTTTGCTGGTATTGCGCTGGTGGTAGCCCTGGAAACACGCGGGGTTAGCACACAGAAACGACATGTCGACAAGCGGGGCCCGCCGCAGGGAGGGGGGAGGGGAGAGGAGCGACTCACATAAGAGTTGCTGCCATTCTGGTTGATCGACGTCACACTCTGGTGGCCCACGGACATCTTATCCATACTCGAGGTGACGGATTGCATCGACGACGGCGGCGTGGGATCGATCTTGCCCAGCGTAATGCTGCTGTTCTTGTACTCGGCCGTCATCTTCTTCCACTCCTCCACCTTAGGCACGCCTGCGCGCCGGACCGCCTCCAACGGGTCGGTGACGGCTTGGCCCGACTGCATGTCGCGCAGTTCGATAAACGAGACGGGGATGAGACCGGGCCCTCCCAGGCGACCGATGGGTTTGGCGACGAACCATTCCGGGTTGGACTGGGCGATGACGATGATGGCTTCCCCAGCTCGCGCATCCAATTCGTCCGGGCGCTCGGCCTGGAAGTCATACTGTACGATTCCATAGACCATGGGGCTGGAGCCCTTTCCCAGGGCCGACATCCTGAACACGGACTGAGGGTGATGAGATTTGGGCGGGTTGACGAAATCGGGACCGGGGAAAGCAGCGGGAGCTCGATCGGAGAAGCCCGAGTCGTGCGACTCCTTCTTCTTATGAAGGTCAACCGAACCGCCACTGTCTCTCTCGTTTTTGCCAATGACCTCGAAGAACGACACCGGGACCAACCCCCTGGCACTAGGGATGAGGGGATTACACGCTTCGTACCAATCCGAGTCGTCCTCCCTGCTGATAACGTGAAAGAAGTCCCCCTTGCTGAACGACAATTCCTGGGTGTGCCCGAATTCTGGTTGGTAGTCGTAAAGAGCCTTGATAACCTACGTGTTCAGACAGGGGTGTGGTTAATAAAAGATTGTCCAGCGCAAGAGTCGAGTTGAGAGTGCGGACGAGGAGGGGGGAAAGGAGGTGGTGGGGGTGGGGACCAAAAAAAATAATAATAATAATAATAAGATGAGATAAAATAATAAGAGTAACGGCCGAGGGTAGGATGGGGAAGAAAGGAGGGATTGAAGGAGAGGAAGGGCGAGGGATTTGTATGGATGAAGCCGATGATGGTGGTAAGGCGGACGAAAAACAGAATGAACGGGATTAAAAAAAAAAATAGAATAAAATAAAATAGAATACACACCTTTTTGGGAGGAAGAATGGCGATCGCGGACTTGGGTGTAATAGAAAGATGATGGTGGTGGTGGGGTTTGGGGTCCTTTTCCCCTTTGAGGGAACGTCGAATGGCCTAATTTCCAAGGAACAATCAAAAGTTAATGAATGCGCCTTGTAATTTTTGAATAATGGGGTGGTTGTACTTTGTCGTAAGGGGGCGGAGGGGGGGGAGGGGGGGGAGAATTTAGGGAACAAGCGATATAAACGAGAGGCGGGAAGACGATAGAAAGGAAGAATAGAAGATAGGAAGATAGAAGGAGGGAGAGATAGAGAGACGTACCTTCATCCTCCAAATAGGTTTCTATTCAAAGCGTTCCGATGGTGGTCGGGGAATTCGATCGGGATCAAAGTAGGCAGGCTGGAATGTACAGAGTGGGTTCAAAGTCGTCGTAGATCAGGAGGTTAAATCATCCGATATGTTGTCCACCAGATGCCCAGGAGACAGAGATTAAAAGAGGGACCAGATGTCGGAACAATCGTCAAATCGATATAGGAAAGGGAAGAAAAAAGAGAGGATATATGGCAAAAATCAAAAGACAGTAGCAGACAACAGACAAGGAAGACTCCAGTGAGAGAGAGCGAGAGGAAGTAAGAGAGAGTAGTAGAAGAGGGGAGAGAGTGTGGTGTGAGGGAGGAGGAAGAAGTGTGTGTAAGTGAGAGAAAGAGTGTGTGTGAAGAAAGAGAGGAAGAGAGATGGAAATGATGATAATATTAACACAATGGTCCAGGATAATCAGCCCAAAAAAAACCAACCAATCCTCCAGGAAGACACACTACTTCAAGAAGTGTCAGTGCTTTTTTGGAGATTTCGATTGATTTCGATCTGTTGTGAACGGCCCTTTCGCCCCCCTCGTGGTGAACTCCAACCACGGATGAACCAGTGTAGTCTTGGGAGGGGGGAAGGATTGCGACGACTTCACAAGACAAGTAGGCCCGCTTTATGACCGACACCCCGCCCCTGAGGGTCACGACAGGAGACAATGGGGGGGGATGGCAGGGAGGAGAAAAAGAGTCAGAGTAAGAACAAAAACAAGAACCAAAGAGACTCCAGCGATGGTAGGTAGGCTGGTCCACGCGTGACAACCGCAGCCGTTCCAAGGTTCTTGAGGGTCTTGGGTGGAGGATCAACCAAAGAGAGGGATGTCGATGTCCCTTCTGAGTGGCTCAGATAGCGTATCGAGGGATTCGTACAATGTGGGGGTGTTGTAGTCTGTTTGTTGGTGGCGGGATAGAGTCATAACCAACCACTATGGTTGGGGGGAGGGAAGGATGGAAGGATGGAAGGGGGGAAGAAGGGAAGAAGGGAAGAAGAGAGAGAATGAAAATAGAAAGTCAGTTGAATAGACAAGAGTGAGCAAGAACTGGATGAAGGATCCCATGTCAAGAAAAAGAGAAAAGGTGAAGTGCCTGAGTAGTTTCCAGATGCTGTACCATACAAGGCTAGGCAAGAGATTGGTTGTTGGTTTAGGTATTCATGGTATTATTCATTCCAGCCTCGAGTATTCGCCTCTTTTTGGGTCTATCCTCTATATATTCAATTCATTAAATTATAATTATATTATATTATATCATATTATATATTGTAGACATTTGACTGCTTAATTTTAAACTCATGGGTCAACTGGAGTCCGAGATTAATATCGAAATCTCTATCAAACTGTTCTCCAGCTGACCGTTGATACGTGCCCAAGTCCGTCCTTATGCCTGGTACCTACTAAGAACTAGCCGAGACTGGCTTTCCGGCTCCCGTCACGGCCCCCTAACTAATCTTAAGCTATCGTAGTATCTTAGGTACGGTCCATACCTTAGCATGCCTAAGTACGACTACTGGGGCTTGACCAGTATCTCGCTGCCTGGTTGGGCACCATTCTTCACTTCAGCCTTCCCCTTTATTGATCCTATTGTTTTGCTTTGTGATTTTTTGTTTGAAAATTGTTAGTGTCATTAAACCATGATGATTCATTAAACCATGATGATCTCTATCCTTTTCATTACTTTCAATACTACATGTATATTTGTACTCCATTCGCCCAACCATACTCAGGTGAGGATCTAAGGCAACATCTAACCGATCAGGCCTCAAGGTCCCCTTACTAGAGGATGCATTCCAATGATCAAACCCACCCATGCAAAAGAAACAATTCATGGCACGACATCTTACAGGCTGGGAAAGAAACGTCAAGGTTACCACTTTGCCACACCAGTGGTCTGTGTGCCGCACTTGAAAAATGGAGCAACTTACACTTTTTCCTCCCTAACAGCCAGTCAATATCAGATATGGCTCCCTGGCTGAGGGTTGAAATTATCTATCACTCCACCGCAACTTCGGTCTCCAGTCCCAGAATTCATCTCACTGGCCGAGTCTGAAGAATACCATGAGGGTTAACCTTTGTCCCGTCTCAATTCCATGGTCCTCCAGCTTCGGTTCCAGACTTTTGCCCCTTCTCCGCTTGATCCTAAAATAGGAAACACTTGAAAAAAGGGTATGATCGTCGCAGGGTCTGTCTGACAGTACTCCTCCACGGTAAAAAAAATACCACAAAAAGAATGATGATGGCAAGGATATCCCAGATCAAGCTCAATAACTCATGCCACTGTCTCGCACCGGATCCGCTTTCCGACGGCAAGGGACATGTAGGGCTTGGAAGCTGTCCATCTGTGACCGTCAAACAGGGCAAATCTTCAACCCGTCCGAAATTCGCCCGGTGCAGCTTGCATGGATGAGTCAGTCAGTCAACTCGACGCCCCCGCCCCATGCAGTGGCCGAGTCGCTTTTGTTCCAAGCCCGACCTGCTGGGTGTGCAGCCACTCAGGTACAGTAGTCTGTTTCGATGGTCGAGTTCGCTTGCTCAAGGCAGGACCCACTGGCTGAACCCGGTGGCCACTTTAGCTTTGCTGGACTCTCAACATCAACCGGGTGGACGGTCAGGGTGCAAAAAGTGGCAAGACCGACATCAAGATAGCCTTGCGAGCGTTCGAGTCGTCGATCTGATAGCCAGCTCGACGAGTCGAACGGTCTCGTCCTCGTGAAGCTGTCACGTTCAGCGCCCCACTGCATCTCCATCTGTCAAGTCAAAGATGCTTGGCATTTCTGGATACCTCAGACCGAGCAATATGATGTATCATCCCATCACCTCATTCGCCGATCGGCACGCAGAAGCTGCCCATGGACTCTTCTAGCCATGTCTTGGTATCTATAAGATCGACAACTTAGCCGGCCTGGCTGGTAAAGAAATGAAATTGACTTGTTTCGCCTGCCAGCCCTAGTGGACTGTGGACACAGCCCTAGAAAATCCATCACGCTGCATCTCATCACATTGCATATGTTGCAATCAGTATCGGTATCGACCCTTAAGTATCAAATCTCTACAACTATTCATTCACACTTCCTCCACCTATTCTGAAGTCTAGACTGTACTCTGTAGAAACACCCCATCAACAAGACAAACCAATAATCTCCCCTCTCCATCTCCACGAACGTCCTTTAATTTCAACCATGTGGGACATGCACGTTCGAGAACCACCGTTGCGGGTCATAAATTACCTCCACTCGGTATGCGATCGGTACTTCCATTACCGCTCAGTTTTCACATCAGTATTGTTGGATAGTGTCGGGTACCTGCTTCTCTTATCCCTCCATTCCAACAGAAGGGCCGACTTCAAACATGTCGGTGTGTTTGAAATCTATCGGCCTGCACTGAGCGCCGATAAGGTAGCGGTGTGGAAATGCACGTACCAGATGGATATGTATCAAGTTGATAGGATACAGTTTAGTATAATTTCTAAATGCTTGTACGGAATTAATCTATATTCCGAATCTATCTTTGCGTTTCTAGTTGTAGATCGACCCATAGCGCGGGTGGGTGTATTAAATGGATACAAAGGTTTGTACTCGATGTGGCTGACTCCGGCATGATTATATCCAGGTCAACACGCATATTCCTATATTATACAGGGAGTACACTTGCCGATATCCTCCGTACACCCTCTGAGATGCTAGTTGCCTGAATCAAATAGCCAGTCGTGTCTTCCTAGATACAGTGATCCGATACCATACAAACCATACTACGACGGCAAGATCGACTATCTATATAGTATAGATTTATATTGTATGGATTGTCCCTTTCTTGTCTTCTCTCTTCTATATGATCAATGCAACAATCATTCCCGTCTATGTCTATTACACCTGAACCTCGAATTCCACTTCAATGTCTGGCAGGAGATGTGTTCCGTAGACCCACCAGGCATGACCCCGCCATGATGCTCCCGATCGGCTCTCCGCCTTCGGCCAGCTCACCTGACACCTGATCTACCTCCCTTCAATCCACCCAACGACATCATCACCATCCAACCTTTGATCAGTTCATCCTATCTAATTTTACTCGTACATATCAAGACATCAAATACATCTTCATTTCTCAGATCTCAACCCCCCCCTAGATCGCCAGATCTCCAAGCTTGCAATGTGATCGGAGCTATCAATGACCGCCCACACCCGGTCATAGCTTCATTTCACTGAGCTTCTAGTGTGCTACTAATCTACTCCCCACAGGCTGGCCCTCTCTTCACCTAAAACCTGAATTCTCGCAATGCTCCGTCACGTCACAGTATCAGGAGTTCGGGCCACGCGGGCGTCGAACTCCATGTCTCTCTCCCCCGGAAGTAGCGGTCTAGCCGGTCGAACTACCACCACCACCTCGACACGCCCAGCTAGGAGCACCGCCCAGGTCCGCGCCTTTTGGGACCACTCGCACCGGAGATACAGACACACAGAGGATTGGGAACGGAAGCGAACGGAGAGGTACCGACGCCTCTACCAGCTTAAGATGCGCAAGCAACCCCCGAAGCACCCGTCCGTCATGTTCAACCAGCACGTCCCGTGGTGGACTCCTGGGTGGGGGTGGGGACGTTTCAGATCCGGATTTTCGGAGTCGGAATCGGGGTCGGGGGCTGGACGAAACCCTCACAAGGTCTTCTGGGAATCCAACCCTCACAAAAGCTTCTGGGAGACGGAGAGCGCCCGCGCGAAGGAGCGCATGGATCAATTTAGGAGGGAGATCGATGCCGACCCACATGCGGCCCTGTTTGGGAGCAGGCTAGTTCGCCCCGGTGCCCCGGGTACGTATGACAATTGGTTCACTGATCTTTGTCGCACGTTTCTTGGTCTTGGGTCCACTGCGGAGTCGAAGCCTGTTGATACGACGGCGAGTTCGCGTACGTCGCCGCCGCCGCCTCCGCCGCGTACCGGTGATGCACGCATGTCGGATTCGGAGGGACCCAGTGGTGTGACTGCGTATACTGAAAGTGCAAGGGTTGACGAAAAGAATGATTTGGAATTCGACCCTATTAGTGGCCGCATGGTCCCGAAATCGAAACAGTCTTCTGATGTGATTGACGGGAACGAGCAGGTTGAAGATACAGCGCGGGGGAAATCTCAGCACAAAGGTCCTCGATCTGACCTTGGGAAGGCTGGCTTTCTTTCTTCGGTGGAGTCTTCGCCACGAAGGTCAGAACCACAAGAGTCATTAGAGAACTCGGACGCCGGCCACGGTGCACTGTATGGGGGTCATCAAAAGCCACGTAATTCCAAGCAAACACAGGAACATAAATCGAGGGAACCGCTGGACACCACGGCCCGAGAACAACGCCCAGATGCTACGACTCAGTCGATCAGCCCCGATGCTGGTCCGTCGCGGGACAATTTAGCATCTTCAAGTCCGGACGCCGAAGACACTGGGAAGGATACCCAAGAGCCGCAGAGGCAAACCGAGAGCAATGGATTTCTGGATAGTGCACGAAATAGTGAAGCTCTGGGCGGAGCACCTCACTCCACAACCAACATCAATCAGGCACCTAAAAGTTTTGTAATTGAGGACTCCCCTGACCATTTGGAGCCCATGTTAAGAGAGAAGCAAGAAGATTTGGATATATTGACTGCCAGCGATATCCGTGCTTCCTACGAAGGGAAGCACTTCGAGGAGGACTTGGAAACGCGAAAGCAAGCACGCAAGCACATGGAGGATACCTTTGACTCCTACGTCGACCCAGCCAGCGAGATTGACCCCCAGAGTTTGCGGCAAAAGTATCAGCAAACTGAAGAGACTTTGGTCCCAAGAGAATCATCCAGCGGTGCCAGCTCTGACGACCTACGCCGGCCCGAAGCATCAACTGAACAGACCCTTGGAGAACAGACTGCGAGAAACACCACACCTGATACTTACCTCGTCCTCGCATATGACCCTTCGACCCGCCAAATAAAGGAAGCTGAAACGAGCTCGTCCCTTCACTCAACAGACGGTGCCCTCCACCCCACCAAAGTCCTCCGTCGCCTCCACCACCCAGCTAAGTTCCTGCCATACTTCGCTCAGATGCACCATGGCGGTTACGAGATCGTGTCTGGCGGCGGAGACATTCTTGTGTTCCGAAAGACCCGAGAGGCAGGGGAGTACGGCAGTGCCGAGTTCCAGGATGACCTGCAGCGACCCAATCCCTACGTCCGACATGATGAAGATCTTTACGAGCCTGCGCCTCCGACGGAGTCATCATCGACCATTCCGCCGGCGCTCGACACGGCACCCGACGATGCTCCCTCCGCATCCGACAAAGATACTCCCGAATCAAGAGAACCACCTAAAACGCGGTCGAGATTCGGCTCCGCACTCCGTCGGATGTTCATCAGCGGCGCCGCCACGGCTGCGACCTGCTACGCTATCGGTGTTGTGGTGGAGTTTCTCCGCACAGGCGGAGAAGACGGACGGGGGTTCGATGCATTTACTGAATTTGAGTCTGAGAGGCGTCAGAGAGAGCGCAATTCATAACAATTTGCATGCTTTATTATTCTCGGGATTGGTGATATATCGGCCTCTTTCTGTACGTAAAATCTAGCTGGATCTGGTTTATTTCTCTGCAATTTGCAATATGTATGATTCATGCATTCATTGCTTCTACCGTAAACCACCTTCGTACGAACAACCATACCTACACGAACCAGGAATATCCCCATCAAAGCCCATTGATAATAACATCATCCTCATCCTCAGGAATCCAATCTCCTTGTCCCTCCTCCCACACCCAATCCCACCACGACTGACGAATCGCATCTCTCTCTTGAACCTCCTCGCGCGCTGGCCTCTCCACTGTCTCTAGGTTCTTCTTTTCCTCGTCAGCAATCTTCCTCTTTTCCTTCTCCTTATTCTCTATCTCCTCATTCTCCTTCTCCTGTTTCCGTTTCTCCTTCTCTCTATTCTTCTCCTCTTTCGTCTTCTTTTCCTCTTTCTCCCTCCCCTCCCCCTCCCCAGAAAAGCTCCCCCCAAAACCACGCCCCAAAACCCCTGCAAAACCCCACACCTCGCCCCCCACCAACCAAATACAACCCCAACCCCCCAATCAACCTAACCACATCCCTAAAATCCCTCCCAACCCACAAATCAAACTCCCTACTCCCTAGTACGCGGAAAGTCCTCGCATCAGGCTCCTCCTCATCCCCCGCCGCACAGCACAGCGCCATCCACTCCAGCTCCTGCCTCACGCGCTCCATGTTCGCCCCGGCATAGTGACGGCTTTCTGGGATGGTGGTGGACACGAAGTGGTGGGTTGGGTTTGCGCCTGTCGAGCTGGCTGAGACAGCTTGGTTGTACCGCCCACTCCACAGTCTGGACGTCTTGTAGCCTGGGAAGATCCCCCGCAGCAGGTGCAGTTTGGGCCCGTGTTGGCTGATGAGGTAGACTTCTTGGGAGGGGATCTGGTCGCCGGGGGGGTAGAGGTGGTGGATGTGGATGAGGAGTTGGGAGAGGAGGAGCTTGAATTCGTTGGTGAGGGTTTGGGGGAGGGTGGGGGCTTCGGATTGGGTCTGGGGAATTATTGTTAGTACGGTTTATCTGTTTCTGGCATCAAGCGTGTATATAGAGAGAGGGAACGAGAGAGATAAAGGGGAGGAAGGGAGATACCGATGATATAGGAACAACAGCCCGCACAAGCCCCGTCTCGGGAAGTTCGTCTAGACAGAGTAAGCCAGCTGTGCGCGGCCCGTCGGTGTATCTCTCGCGGTATCCAGTCCAGTATTCGAGTTTGCAGTTGAATAGGCGCGGTCTTATACTTCTTATCAGTATCACCAACGCATATCAAATCCGGTACAGCTGTGATAATCAGGGTAAAGGAGCATACCGAAGCACAAAGGACGCGTCCCCCATCCTACGCCCAATCCTCATCATATCCATAACCTCATGCAGAAGCGCATACACGACTTGGCCTTGTGCTTTTGCTGCATCTGTGAAGTTGATCCTAGACGATGGGGTGGAAGAGGAGGAGGACGTCGGTTGTCCATGGCCACTATCCCCATATATCCCATTGGCAAACTGCGCCGGCACCTTCTTCAGCGTCTTGTAGACGCCCCGGAAGCGGGTGTCTACGGTGGGCCACTTGTTGAGGTTGACGTTGCGGGCGTCTTCGCGGCCTCGGAAGAGCCAGATTGGGCGGTTGGTGGAGGCTGTAGAATTAGTCTCTGTCGTCTTATTTCTTCTCGGAGTTTGCTGGGTGGAGAAGGAACATACGGGTTTGTTCCGCCTTTTGGAGATAGTGAGCTGGGATAAGGTCCTCTTCTGGACGGTTTAGATAGAACTTTGCTTTCAGGCCGTGGACTTCGATGGTGATGGTTTCTCTCTCTGGGGCTGGAGAAGGGCTCATTATTGCTGTGGGCTGCAATGGTAGTAGTTTCTGTTAGATAGGTGGGTATCAAGGTTGATAGGTTGATAGGTTGATAGGTATCTATTCAATTTGTTGTTGGTGTACAGGAGAAAGAAGGATGTTGGAAGATGCTAGACATGATGATGTCAGGAGATAGGTGCTGTAAATGCAAGTCATCCATACTTGGAGAGAAGGAAATGAGAATGTTTCTTGCAGTGAATGAGTGAGTTACTCTTTTAGATAGTCTGTTTTTTATCCATGATGATATGCTCCAGCGCGTCCTACTATCTATGGTCATAATTGCTCGTCTTCATTGCTTGTATCCTGTCTGATATTCATATCGATGTATATCCATGCTAAACTGCTTGAAACAGATTCGCTGCTTTCAATTTCTTGGTTTGAACAACCAACCCAAGGAGGACCACTGTTCTATTGACATGGCTATACATCGAGTTGAATATTGTGGTTATTCTACAGCCAGTAATTAGGGTTTCCACCAATTTAGCCACCAAGTCCACCCCAAGCAAACACAACAGAATACAGCAGTATCAAAGAGATATATATCTTCGACCCAGAATAATATGACTGTATGTATAACCCATAAATCTCATATAGATAAATTGTAATTATGACCTGAACGTATTAGTCATGATCCCCACAATCCCCGCAACCGCACCATAACCATATTTCCCACACATTTCCCCAAGATTCAAGCTTCGCCAAGTTCTCCAACCACACAACCACACCCATCACCATCACCCAATACAATACAATCAACATGCCCAGAGCCACCCGCACCCCAGTCCGCGCCCTGAATGCGCCCGCGCCGGCTCCCTTCCTGTCCCAGGCTATCGTAGTCGGCGACTTGATCTTCTGCTCCGGCCAGCTCGGCATGAACCCCACCACCAACCAGATGGTCGAGGGCTCCATTAAGGAGAGAACTGTACTGACGATCCCTTTCCTCTGCCATTGAGTGATGCATTGTCTAATTGTATTGTAGAAGCAAATCATGCTCAACCTGAGCGCCGTGCTCGAAGCCGGTGGCTCGAGCCTCCGCGACGCGGTCAAGATGAACATCTATCTGGCCGATATGGATGACTTTGGGGCTGTCAATGAGGTCTATGATTCTTTCTTTGAGGGTGCCAAACCTGTGAGTTAATCCCTTTTTCTTCCCTCTCCATTCTTCCTCTTTCATCTTGGTGTATCTTTTGTTTTCTTTCCTTTTTCATGACCATTGATACTGATGAGATAGGCCCGGACGTGCGTGGCCGTCAAGACGCTGCCCAAGGGGTCGGACGTCGAGATTGAGTGCACCGGTGTGGTGACTGGTGTGCCCAAGGGGGCTTCTCGTCTTTAGATTTCTTGTCTGAGACGTTTTTTCCCATGAAGGGGTAGTGGGGTGTTTTGGTGGGGTTAAATAGCTGTCTCTAGCGCGGGAGACCATTCAATCCATCTGTACATGTACAACTGCTTGAGTATCAGCCGCCACTGTTATATATCTTTCTTCTGTATGCTTGCTCGGAATATTTGCGAAAACGCATGTAGCGCGCGTCAGTGACTCATGGGGCGAAAACGCCTTGAGCCTTAAGTAAGCCGCAGAGGGCGATGCCCGAGTTAGCTTTATATCTTCAGAAGATACCACTTGTCATGATAAATTTTGACCCCAATCACTCCAAGACTGCTAGATCTAGCAAGCTTTAGTAAATCCATCTAGCAAACGACCAGACAAGCCGACCCGAACCAAACAGTGCCAACTAACTGGCAAAGTCCCAAACAACACAATGGAAACCTTCCCCCTAAACGACCTCCCCCCAGAGCTCATCGCGCAAGTCATCCACGCAGTCCCCGATCCAAAAGACCTCCGCAACCTGCGCCTCGCCAACCGCGCCCTGAGCGAGCTAGCCACGCGGGAACTCTTCCGCGAAGTATACGTCCACATCGATCGGCTCTCCGACGAAATCGAAGAGCAGTCCTTCGAGGGCGTCGTCAAGATCTTCGAAAAATATCCTCATCTGGTGCAGGGCCTCGACGTGGACGGGTACTTCGGCGCCCGGTATGACTGTCTCTGTCCGTTTCAGTGCGCGCCTTATCTTGACAAGCTGCCTAATCTGCGGTGGGTTGAGATGTATGGGACTTATGCGTCGTGGTGGAGTGAGGAGGATTATGCGGGTCAGGTCGCTGGGGTGTTGAGGAGGGCGAGTTTGTTGACGGGGTGTGGGGAGCGTGTGTTGCGGGGTTTGAGGAGCTGTATGTTTCCTTCTTTCCTTTCCTTGTGCGATTTTCACCACAAGTAAAAGTCCCGGAAGAAAAAGAAGAAAGAGGAGAAAGAGAAAGCTAACAGATACATCAGTAAACCTCAACATCTTCACCGAAGAAGACCCCCAAGACTGGTTCCTCGGCGCCTTCAGCGCAATCTTCCTCATCCCGCAGCTCCAGCACCTCAGCCTAAAAGGCCTCACCCTAAGCAGCGCCGACCTCGCCGACATCCCACCAACCTTCCAGCACCAAACAGAACTGAAATCTCTCAGCATCACCCACTCCTACATCGACATCCAAGCCCTGCACAACATCCTCTCCCTCCCGCGCGCGCTAACCCACCTAGACCTCTCCCACAAGCCTCCTGGAGGCACGCAGCGTCCGCCCGGGTGGCACGAGGAGACGTGCGGCCCGGGCGATCTGCGCGCGGCGCTGGCGCAGCAGGGGGCGTCACTTGAGGGGGTGAAGATTGCGAGGTGGCCGAGGGTGAGGATTGAGGACACTGGATTTGATTTGTCCGTTGGGGGGTTTCCTAGGTTGAGGGTTTATGAGGGGTGTTATCGGGATGCGTCGGGGAGGTTTGCTTGGGGTTGATGATTGGTGTTGGGGACGGGGCATGGCTTTTTACTTTTTGCTTTTTACTTTTTTTGGATATTGGGTTATTTGTGTTTTGGTGGTTGGAATGGGATTGTTCGGGGTGGGGATTAGGTGAGATGGTGAGGCTGTATATGGTGGATTGATGGTACTTCTATATATATCTTGGATATCGGAGGGAGTGGAACGTACGGAGTAAACATAAGACACTATCGAAATAATTCAATGTCTACAATTTTTACTAATTAGTATATTTAGTCGAACAAAACCTAGAAAACCCTCCATACCAATAAAGTTCAGCCAACCCATCTCACCCAAAAAGCAGTATAGAGTTGACCGAACGAAATAGATATCACGTGGATACCCACCGTAATCTCCAGACCGGCTCAAGTCCGGCTCAGGCACCAGTGCCAGCTCGATCCACGGTACTCTTTTCCACCAGAGCCACCCAAGTAATCTCCCCAATCATCCCTCCATCTCCACAAACAAGCCGTCCGGTATCACAGGGCGGTGCCTCACCTTTGAATCCTGTCGCACAGCATGGTTCACTCCATTTATATTATTACTTCCAGGCTTTAGATAGTAGACACTTAGTAGCAAGCTACATACATACATACATAGCTCAAACTTGTACCTCATTTTCTGTGAGAGTTAGTTATCTGCTGTAGTGGCTAGCGGGAAGCCCTGACGGAGCGAAGGTTCAGGAACAGGATTAGCGTGGATGAAGTTTGTCGGGCTTGGGTCTCCGCTGGTGGTGTTGGTTGGTTGGGATTTGTTTTTTTTCTCTTTCTTCTTCATTATTATGGTTCTGAGGTGGCTGTTTGGAGGATGGGCTAGGGGGGATTCTTTTTTCTTCCTTGTAGGGGAGGATGGAAGGTTTTAGGGGTGTGAGGGAGGATGATCTGGTTCGTCCTTTGGTTTCATGTTGAGGTTGGATACCTGTTTATCTACAAGAGTGGTAGGTACCTAGTTAGTCACCTAGGGAGGGAGATCATCTAGGATAGTATCAAGGAGTATGGAGATGAGATGAAGAGAAAGACAGATTGATTGACATTTCCGAGACAGCTGCAGCGTGAGGAATGTTGGCACTGAGACAAGTGGTCCTAGGGATAAAAGATGGAAGTCTGAAACAGACGAGAGACACATGTCAGTGTTAGGCTATCTCTATCCTTCTTTCTCACTGTTCTTCTCTCACTATCCATCGCTTTCTCTCACGGATTGAACGGATAGCTTCTTCTAGTGATAAGTTGAGGCCATCCCGAATAGATATAGTTCGACCAAGGCAAATCGATAAGTGTTCTTAGCACCGGGCCAGTAGTGCCAAAACAAGTAATTCGTCCAGGAAAGTGGCTTGGCGTGTCCTCTGTAGACACTAGAGTGTAGAGACTAGAGAGAGAAGAGCGTCTCTCGCTAGCTAATGCGAATACTGAATAACGTATAATAGTAACTAGTCACCGATGGCTGGCATAGTTCCGGTAGTTTTGGCGAACTGCGATGTCAGGGTAGACAAGTGAGACAGTCTTACTTTCGACGGACGGAGGAAAGGGGAAGGAAATGGACCTGACATGAGATGATAGAAGATACAGACACGCACTCCCACTGTCTCCACGGACGAAGATGACGCTGGTTGGTCTAGACCAACCGGGCTGTTGACAGGTTGGCGCGGGCGGGCGGGTTTAAATTGCGATGTGCGACCGATCGGCAGTTGGCTCTGATTATTTGAGTTGGTCGGGATGCTGGAATTGCACATTATTAAAATTAATCTAATAGAGTCTGTCGGTGGACAGAAAAAGGAAAGAAATGACGGAGGGAAAGGGAAGAAAGTGGAAGAATATATCCAAGAATCCCGGGTGATTGCGAACCCCCGGGGTAAATATCCTGAGGAACTCGAAAGGTTGCCGTCATGAATTCAATTTAAATGTTGAATCTACTCCGTAATCTAGGAGCAGCACGGTCCTGATTGTCCCCGTCCCCAGTCTGTTGACTCTCTCGATCAGTAGAGTGGGTGGTGGACGGTGGATGCCATCTCAAGATTCGATCAAGCCTATCCTCTAGAGATGTCGATCCAAATAGGCACGGCCTACTGCAGACCATACCTCAGTCGATAAGGACCCCGTGCCAGTGTCACCGTCTGCAGCCTTTCCATTGTGTCCACGGAAGACTCGAAGACATGTGCTTGGCTCGTCTGTAATTTCTGCTCTGGTGCGGGGATGCCTCGGGCCTTTCTGGTCCTGATGGTTCGCAATATCGACCTGGTGTGCACTTGCAGTGTGCCTAGTGGTCACTGTGATGGAAGTCCCGGTGCAGTCCAACCCACCTCGGTTTAGACCGTGTCACTCAGTCGACTGATAAAAAGGTTAGAGAGTCGAAACTACTCCGGAGAGACTCGAGCGAGACTAGACGATAGACGCAGGTAAGTTGGTCCTATACCCGGTCGGATTAGCGTCTGATCCAGTTACGCGAGTTTGCGCTTTGTTGCATTCTCCGTTGGACGCTGGACCGATAGGGAAGGAGGGCAGAAAGATCGAGTCGAAGCATGGACAAGACAGAATGTGGTGGTGATGGTGATTATGATTATAATTAGGACGGAGAGTGGAGACAGTGCGTGTGGATAAGAGTGGGGCGGCCTCAGGCCGGACCAGCCACTCGTTTCGTTTTCTTTCTTTCTTCCCCTTTTCTCTTATTTACTTCTCTTATTTACTTGTTCTTCCGATGGAATTATTGAATTATTGAATTGAGGAAAGAAACTGCGCCATCGAGTCTAACCAGAAACATCTCCCTCACTAATCTCTTCTTCCCCTCGATTATGCGGTAGTCATAGTTAGTCTCAATTCAGTCTCTCAATCTCTCACCTTCTTTTCCTCTTCCCTCTTTCCTTCCCTTCCCTTCTCTCTTTTCTCCTCCATCGTTCTGTTTTGATTCTTTGTTTGAATTCTTGTCTTCGTTTAATTCTAGATGTGGGAGCTGTGTGGATGTTGTTGTTGACGTAGCCTATCACTGTTGACCTGGACTCTCCTTGCGTCCAATTCTCCTCTCTCGTTCTCCCTACGGTCGCCCGCTTGGCTACCTAACCTAGTATGTATATCTCCTGCCACACCACACTCCACCTCTTCTTCTCTCCCGTCCCCTTCCTTCTTTTCTTCCTCCCCCCCCCAATCCTTCCTTTCCTTCCTTTCTTTTAATCGATTTTTTTTATTTCTTATCTCTGACAGCCAGGTCTTCAGATCCCTTCACTCCTTACTGCAATCTATACATTCGTTTCTTCAAAGGGGTTCCGTTGGTTTACCACGTCCCCTGCCGCTCTTTCATTGTTTATTGCACCTCTTCGCCAGAACTTGTACCTTCGCGTCTCCACCTCACATCCTCTCGATTTATCGCGATCTCTCGAAATCTTTGCCCCCGACCAAGTTCGTGTAATTGTCCGACGATCCTCGACCAGTCATCCCCCGGGTGCTGAAAGTGGAAACAAGAGCCAACCGCTAGGCTGGGACGTGCATATCCACAAACCGCCTCGCCAGTATCACCTTGCCTCCTCTATTCGCCAACCACCGGGTCCATGCAATCGCGAATTCGATAGTTGACGGTTACATTTGAACGGTTGGATCTCGCGACGGGGAAATTTTTGAGTCTTCAGACGGAGCCTGCGCTCTATCCACTCTTTCTTGTTGACTGATTGTTCTTCCCTCTACCCCGTCGACGGACGTTTGATACACCCACCATGGTCGCGTCCGTCGCCTCTTTTCTCGCGGCCTTCTTGTCCGTGGGAGGTCTGGAGCTGGTCGCCGCCCAGCAAGCCCCGGACTCCCACGCCATGAAGCGTCGGTTCGTCCCCAAACACATGAAGCGATATATCAACTACCAGAGATCCGAGGATGGAAAGCCGCTGGACGATTTCCTGGAAAAGGCCGGCCTGGGCACCAAGACCACCGCCGCCAACCCACCGCCGCCCCCGCCCACCGAGACCACCCTCCCGGCCGTCGTCGTCACCCTGTCCATCGACAAGGACGGCAAGACGCACACCATCTCCGGTCCCCTGCCCGCGGGCGCCACCATCGCCTCGGCCACCACCAATGTGGTCACCATCACCGGACCGGGGGCGGCCGCCGCCGCGCCCACGTCCCACAAAGACACCGTTCCGGCCCCGTCTGAGAAAGAAGCTGCCGCCAGCGATTCCACGACGCACCACGCGCTGACGGCGAACAAGGAGGCCCCCGATGCCCCGGCGGCCTCCTCGTCGTCCCCGGCCACCGATTCCAAGGACAGCGGCTTTCTGGACGATGTCAAGAGTTTCTTCGGCGTCAGCAGTTCCACTGACTCCACCGAGGCCAGCAGCACGACGTCGGATTCCAAGCCCGCTCCCTCGTCCGATTCCAAGGCTGCAGCCTCATCCGACTCGAAGTCCGCTTCCTCGTCTGATTCCAAGCACGCCCCCTCGGACGCGTCCAGTGCGTCCATCACCCCCACCCCCGAGTCGACGGAGGGCAGTTTCCTGGACGACGTGAAGAGCTTCTTTGGCGACACCAGTTCGACGGACTCCGTCAGCGCTACCAGTTCTGCGTCCGACTCCAAATCCGCCTCCTCGGCCGCGTCCGGTTCGTCGGTCACCCCGACCGCGTCGTCGACCGACGGGGGTCTCCTGGACGATTTCAAGAGCTTCTTTGGCGACCCCAGCTCGACGGATTCGCCGAGTTCCGGGACTCCTCCCGTGTTCCCACTGTCGTCGACGGCGGACGCGAGCACGACCAAGGCGTCATCGACCTCGACCCCAGGGGCGTCGTCCTCCAAGAGCACGACCAATCTGTTGGACGCGTTCACCGACCTGTTCAACCCTGACACGCCGGCTTCGTCGGCCACCCACGCGCCCTCGGCCAATGCCTCGACCTCGGGCCTGTCGGCCACCCCCACCAGCGTCCCGCTGCCGTCCACCTCCTCCGGACTCTTCAACCTGCCGAGCGAGATGAGCTCGCTGCTGGGATGGACATCGGGTTTGGAATCGTCCGGTCCCCAGAGCACCCTCCCCCCCGGCGCCGCGACCTCGAGCGCTCTTTTCCCCGGTGCGTCCAGCGGGTCCACGGGATCCGTGCCGTTTACCTTGATCAATCCGAGTGTTCCGACCACCACCCCCGGTGGTGCGTCCTCGACGGACGGTACAGGTGCGCATGGATCGACCACCGGGGGCTCGACCGCCCCTCCCACGGCCAAGCCCACGGGGAAGCCCACCAGCCCGGGGTCGCCGACGAGTGCCCCGTCCACCGCCCCGCCGACGCACCCGCCGTCGTCGACGAGCACGGAGACCCCGACCTCGACCTCCGAGACCACCTCGACCTCCACCCCGCCGCCGGAGACCACCGAAGCCCCGACGCCCACCCCCTCGAACCCCGATGACTGGGTCGACAATACCATCATCTTCGAGACCCAGACCCACGTGGTGCCAGACCCGGCGGCCACGCAGACCACCAGCGAGAGCACCAGCCAGCCGACTGCGCTCCCCGGATCGATCACGCCGCCGACATTTGGCAACATCCCGGAGAACTCGACCCTGATCCAGCTGGGGTTCACGCGCGAGCTGTCGTACGACTTCGTGGCGACCCACACCATGTCCTCGTCGCAGATCTTCCGCTACATCCCGCTGGGCCTGCAACACGCCCTGCGACTGGCGGCGGACCAGGTGGCCATGTTCGCGATCCAGCCGTACGGCAACGAATCGCGCGATGGCTACCTGACCACGCTCGCGATGGCTTATGTCCCCTGGGACCAGATCGACACCCTGCGGAAGTACCTCCACAACCCCATCTCCCCGCTCTACGAGCAGCCGTCGGAATCCGAGAAGCGGCTGTTCTCATTGATCGACCCCTCCATCCCCCTGCTGGTGAGCGGCGAACCCGCAGCCGGCGGCAGCAGCGGCGACCAGTCGGGTTCCAGCCACGGCGGCAGTGATGGCTCCGATGGCGATGACTCCCAGACCGATTCCGGGGATGCCGGGGCGAGCTCCAGCTCCTCCACCAAGGCCAGCTCCGTGGGCATCGGCTGTGGTGTGGTGGCAGGAGCCGCGGCCTACGGTGCGGGCATGTTCTGGTTGGCGCGTCGCTACCGCAAGAAGCGCCAGTTGCACCAGCGCTCGAGTTCGACCGTGGACCAGCAGAGCGAGGCCCGTGGCGCGGCTGGACGTCTTTCGCCCAACAGCCAGGGTAGCCGGGGGCCGATCAGTGCGCCGGTCATGGCAGAGAATTCACTGGGGTGGAACTAATCCTCTGCTCGGATTCATTGACATAAAAAAAAAAGTGAAAAAAAAAAAGAAAAGGAACAAACAAGAGACGAAGACAGAATGCCAACCGAGACATGGAGCATAGATTGTTGTGGGTCCATGGAACGCGCGGGTAGACCTGGAGACAGAACAGCGGGATGAATCTAGCTAATCTCGACGCATCCTCCACTGGCTTCATTTCTGATAATATTCAAACATGAATATGATCCCGTCCTGGGCGCGTGATTTTGTCATTTCTCCCAGATGTTTCTTTCCATCCATCCTTTCTTCTTCAATTCTTATTCCCCCTATGTTTTTGACTTTTCTTTTTTTATACAGCCATTTTTCTTCTTCTCTCGACATTTTTTATTTGATGGTGATTACCGAGCGAATACCTCCTAACACCGCAATCATTATACTTTTTTCTCCCCATTCTTTCCTATCTACTCTCCACTTTCGGGAAGTCCCCATACTCCTACTACTACTACTTACTACTCCTCTGCTCTGCTTTAATGGTTGGGTGGTAGGTATATCTGACGAGTGATGTCATCCTCCCCCTTTTCCTATCCTTCTTTCCTTTTTTTCTCACCTCTTTCCCCCCCCTTGTTTGAGGGCTATCTTGTTTGAATGTTTTGTACAGATGTATAGTTGCTGTAGAGCGAATGACCGTGTTGTTTCTGCATGGATGTCATGTCAATATAGTTTGATTTCTTTGTTATTGATTGATTGATTGATTGTGTTTAAAGAATGGGTGGATTTTTGACCCGTCTTCATATATGAGAGTTTTTAATATATATTGCTAGTATAAGTATAGTATATGGAATACCCATTTAGTATGTAGTATAAAGAAGAAAGAAAATAGGAAATGAGTGCCAAATGGTATGTATACATAAACAAAAGAAAGAAAAAGAGTGGTGTTTAATCAGACTTGCCCCCCTTCGACTGATCATCACGATCCTTTCTCCCCCCAAACACAGACCCCAACCCAGACTGCAACATCCCCAACACACCCCCTCACCACCACCCCCTCCCGCTCCCTCATACTCATCCGATGCTCCTTCGCGCGCTTCTTCTCCGCCTTATACTCCTCCCACGAGACACTAGCGGAGTCACTAGCAGCGGAGCCACCATTGCCATGGTTATTCTTCTCCTGCTCCACATGCAGCAACCGGACCAGCGTAGTAGAATCCTTATCAGGCGTATGCGGCGCAGGAGGGAGCGCGCGCACGGCGTCGTCGCCCGCGTAGGCGCGGATGGCTTCGCGGAAGGACCATTGCACGGCGTGCTCGACGGGCTCGTCGAAGATGTAGGGGAGGAAGGGGACGATTGCGAGGCCGAGCTTTACTTTCATTAGCATCCTCTCTGGGAGGAGTGGAAAGGGTGGAAAGGAAGAAAAGGGAAAGGAAAGGAAAGGAAAAGAGGGAAAATACATACCCCGATTGGAGACCACGTGCGCAGCAACGCACTCTTATAATCCTTGAGCATACGACCGGAGTGTTTAACCACCGTGTGGATGGTCAACGCAGGCAGCCCCATACTCGCCAGACCCTGAAAGACAGCCCGTTTGGCCATCACAACGCGGTAATCCTCGATCAGCGGGATGGACGTCGCGGGCCAAGGCGTGAGCGATTCCTGCTCTGCTTGCGATTGCGACTGCGCCCCGGACAGCGACTGGGAAGGACGTAGCGAGCCGGCTACATTCCCCGTCGCCATGCCCAGCACGACGTCCCCGTGCGAGACGGCATCCTTGTAGGACTCGCAGGGCGGGGCCAGCACGTCCCGGTTCCGCAGGTAGGCCTTGTAGCCTTCGTGGGCGACGTCGCCGATGAGGTAGGTCCAGGAGATGGCGTAGGCGGAGCGCACGAGGTAGGGGTGTGAGACGGGACGGAAGGACTCGCCTATGTCGGAGGTGTAGGCTACGTAGCGGTGGGCGGAGAGGAGGATGGTGCGGAGGCGGTTGGCGTAGCCGGCGTAGCGGTAGGGGGTGTCTGTTGAGTCTATGGAGCTGTTTTGTCTCTATGTTAGTGGTTGTTTATCTATGTATATGTTTGGGTATTAGGTGGTGGGTTGGTGTTGAGTGTATGGATAGATGGTCGTCATCTTGCGGGGAATGTAGGTATGTATGTGCGGGGATTCCATGTATGACAGATAACTGCCAGTGTTACTGTGGAGAAGAACATACTAAGGACCGTAGATATCATCGTAGAAAGTCCTGTCATCGTGATCGACGAGTTGCTGTAGTTGGGGAGACAGTTTCTCGCGAGGAATAGGCTTTGGGTCCTCCGGTGGGGTCTCCTCGTTGGGGGAGTTCCAGAGCATGGTGTTGCTTGACTGGTTATCAGAGGGAAGGAAGTAAGAAGCGTAAGGACTGATGGATGATATTGGTGAGGGACTATAGAACGAGAGAAGAAAAGGAAGAGGAGGAGAAAATTATCGAGCTAAGCTCGGACTATGATATATTACATACTAATGATCCTTAAAGTGGTTGATATGGTGAGGGAATGACCGCACGCAGTAATTGACATCACATCGTTGACTGCCCGAGGTTCCTTGGTTCTCTTCTACCTGACCGTGGATATCATGATGGATCAAGTCTAATTTTTACTTCTCACTCTGTATGTAGATCTCTAATTTATTTACACTCATTATTGTTTAAATAATTCTTGTAGATAAATAGAAAGGTCTCTATTCTCGAATATCTACCAGGATCGTCCGGATATACATCGGGGACTCCCGTAATGTCACATGATAATATCACATGACATGTATTATGTCATCTGCTGACTCACCCCAATCCCCGCTAAACCCCATTCGTGCAATCCGAGCCGCAACGGAACTCGCTCAAACTACACTCTGAGGAGAACCGTCAAGTCTTCATCCATCCTCTCGTCACTCCTCCTCTTCCCCTCTTCGTCACTCCCCACCCCAATCAGTCAACATGGTCGTCTACTACCAGATCGCCGGCAAGAAGGTCGGCTCTCACTTCGTACGTCTCCCTGCCTCCTGCAGCTGTCTGCCTGTCTGCCTGTCCACCGGCCTTCCCTCCCTGTCCGCCAATCTCTGTGGATAGCCGGACCGGCCTGTCGGACGACACGACACAACCCATTGGTCGTTCCCCCAATTCGATCGTTTGCTAATAATATCTGTACAGCTCGCCATGGGTGTCCTCGGCACAATGTTCGGTGGTGTCTTCCTTGCCACCCGCGGCGGTGGTGAGAAGAAGCAGGCCACTCCCCCCATCCAGGCCGCCTCTAAGGATGAGGAGACTTTCATCCAGTACGTCTCTTGAACTTCCATTCGCATTCACAACATCATCAATGGCTCTCAACATATCGCCATCGCGAATGGACATTCCCGTTCGACGCTCCGTCTCGGAGAAGCGGAGCCGAACCAAGGGAGAAACTCGCGATTGAGGCCAGCCCAAGACAACCAACAACCACAAGTATCAATCGCAAGAAACAGTCACTAACAACTGAACAGAGACTTCCTGAAGCAAGTGGACGGCGGCGACAAAAAATAAACCGTCTCCTTCCGTCACGAGGAACGAACCGAGGACGAACGGCCCCACAGTCAAGTCATTGATTGAAACGAGCTCGACACTTGCGATTCACGACGAGCGCACTTTCCTTGCGTGATGGCTGTGTGGAGGGATGATGGGATGACCTTCGTTCTTGGGTGTTGGACCGACTGCTGGTGATTGCTATTGTTATTGCCGGTGGTGAGGTGTGTGATCTGTACATATAGAGGTATACACCGTTTTTCTCAGGTGCATTGTTTTATTATGGGTAGCTGTCGGATTGTAGCCAGATGTAGCCAGATGTAGCCAGATGTAGCCAGGTTGTAGCCAGGTTGTAGCCAGGTTGTAGCCAGGATTGTATCCTGCACTCGTAGCTGTCACGGCTCCTAGCAGTCCACTAGATTGGTCATGTCCGCAGTCAGGGTCATAGGCCATTCAACACCATGACACAAAAGATAGTACATATTCTCCATTGACATTCATAACCCTATAAAACCCAACCAGCCCAATCCATCCTGCAGGCATAAAACAAAACCACCACAAGATCGACCCTCCCAATCCGCTTAGTCACCACTCCAACCACACTTAAAACAGTGTACGTAGTATAGTGTACCTGATACTCTCACACAATCTCACTCCCATTCCCACCCCCACTCCTATACAACCAAGAAAAAGCAGAATGCAAAAATTAAACCCAATCCCCTTCCCCCTCCCCCTAACCCTAGGAACAGACATCGTCCACCTCCCCCGCATCACCCGCCTCGTCACCCGCCCCGGCGGCTTCCTCACGCGCTTCACGCGTCGCATCCTGCACGAGCAAGAGCAGCGCGATTTTCGGGCCCGGTTTGGTCTTTTCCCTGTCTCCCCTCCTACTGTCTCTTCTGCTGGGGATAAGAATGATAAAAACGGATCGGCTACACCCCCCCAATTCCCCGTGTCGGGCGACATGACGCGCTGGTTGGCGGGTAGGTTCGCCGCGAAGGAGGCAGCGCGCAAGGCGGCGCCTGGGGGAGCGGCTAGTTTGAGCTGGAAGGATGTGCTTGTGAGGGCTGGGGAGGAGAAGGGTGGGGTGAGGGGGCGCCGGAGGTGGTGTTTTTGGGGAGGGGGAGGGTGAGCCTGGGAGGGTGGGGAGGTTGTCGATTTCGCATGATGGGGAGTATGTTGTTGCGACTGTTTTGGCTGCTGGTTGAGTTGTGTTCTTACTGGGCTTTATTGGGGGGTTGGTTGTTGAGGAGGGATGTCTGGATTGAACTATGGGGATATACTGGGTTCTTGCGGGCTGTCTTGTATCTGAGAAGATGCGGTCTTACGTCTGCGGGATTATGCGCAACGCGAATACACGGATTGATTCGGTATAATCAATGACATTACCCACGACCAACGTCTTTTCGCCGCTACATACAGCTATGTCACCGTCTTCATCCCACCTTCGATACACCCCCGACAACGTTATACGTTATACCGTCTTGTCGTTGATGGAGAGAAGCTCGACCTCACTGCAGCTTCAGTCAGTCGCGCTGATAGTACGTGCATGATGAGGAGGGCACTTACAACACGAGAGTCGAGTTCGCGGGGATCAAGCCGGGGAAGCCGCTGCGTCGAAAGAGTCAGTGTACACACTCGACGGGTCCGATTGAAAGACTGCGCGACAAACGGAAGATCAGAAAAGGAACACATACCGAGACCCATATCCGTACTCGCTGTCTTCATGTTAGCGACATCGTTCAGGGAAAATATCTATCTGATAAGAGGGCAAGACTCACGGATCGATAGTCAAAATAGCCTTCTCTCCCAGACTCATCTGAAGCACGCCTTCATCCCAGCCTACATTCATCGAATGATCCTGTCAGCTCTGCCACGCCCATCGCATTCCACCCAACAACACCTCGCCCCAGACCGAAAGCGAAGCCAAGTACAATACCTTTAATCACCCGTCCAATCCCAATAGAAGTAGTCAGCGGCTGGCCGCGGTCGATAGAGCTATCGAATCTATCAAACGAACCATTCATTAGTCTGGAGAACCCCCCCCCCCCCCCCCCCCCCCTCTGACTTTAGGAAAGAATACATACTTCTTGCCCATATGATGGTTATCAGGACTGGACGGATCGTGCAGACACCCGGTGTAGTGGATGGCTACGTTGTCGCCTTTCTGGGGGATATCAACGCCGTTGCCTTCTCGGAGGAGGGTTTTGGTGACGCCCATGATGATTTGTATATATGGGTTCAGATAGTATCGATTGATATGATTGCCTTCAGTCAACCGAGCAGAAACCAAAAAATAAAGAGAGGTGACGAGGAGGAAGATCAGGGAGGGGGAGAGAGAGGCGGGGCAAGTCAATCTTAGCTTCTTAAATAATTCTTAAATAAATAATTTTTAAAAAAAGCATCAACATCCAAGCAGTCGTCAGGGCGGGGTTAAAATCGAAACTAAGTTTATTACTTGGTGTTATTCTATTTGATATGATGTATGTGATAGACAAGTTACAGCCCTGGCTATTAGCCAGTCGTTGCCGGCTTAGTCCTGTCCTATAATATCGTCATCTGCTTTCCCTGCGGTTTGATAAGTAGGTAGGTAATTTGACTACCGCCACCATACTATCACATCACATCATTCTAGTGGATTACTGCAGTTCAGGGTTTACTCTTGGGATCTACTACCTAGGATTATACCGACCTTACAACGAGACACGGGCTCCCCCTCTATCAACCCTGATTGGTACATGAAAATGAGCAATAGCCGCCGCGGATGGCATGTACGAGGATAAGGTAAGGTTATAGGCTGGGTGATATGATAGGTAGCTTTTGCTTTGTCTAGTCTATTGCAAGTTCATGTCTGGGTCTATCTACTTGTCTATCTCCTCGGAGGACTAGCCTTGATTACTTACTTACTCTTTAATTAAGTATGTAGTAGGTGGGAGGTATAAAGTAGCTAAGTGCGGGGTGACGGGTCGGTTATGAACTAGTTCTCGTGGACTTGATAAGGTTAGTTGGATGGAGTAGTTTGATATTGATACTTATCTAAGGTATATAGATGTTATCAGTAGACTTTATTGATATATGAGTAGTATAGTATATTCTCACAATCCATAACAAATTATCAGATATAAGATGAAAAGTCAAGGATAATTAATACATATAATAAGGTAGATCAATATGAACAGTTACATTAGCTTCTAATCTATGCTTATCGCCATCTCGTATGCGTCCAATCGCCATGAAATATAAAAGCACCACCCAAATATCGGATGATCTCGCACAACAGGAAAGAGATAGATACAAGAATTGAAGGAAATAGGAATCTCATAGGATTCTCCAAATACAATGAATGACAAAGCCAACAGTATGATCCTGTCGCGCCGCTACGCTATGCGTGCAAGGGAGGGAGTATCGCAAAAGCTCGTCAAAAGCCGTCAGAGTACAGAGCCCAGGCGTGGATATTGAAAAGGAGTGTGCGGTCAAGGGCAATCGACCATATTGTTCGAAGGAGTGAAAGGGTGGAACGGCTAATCGTCTTTGTACCGGTCTCCCACACGAGTCCGGCTCGTGCTGGTCGACGATGGGTTCGACAACCCTCGCCGCGTCGCTCCATCGTGGAAGCTGGAGCTGCTGCGGTTGAAGTCAGCCCGTCCACGTGGGTCCGCGAGGAAAGCCGAGTCCCGTGACGAGTTCCGGGACTCCATGCCGTCGTTCAGTTCGATTAGATCCCCGCGTCGTCCACCGGTCCGACCCGGGGCACTGGTCTGGTAGCTCTGCGCCCGCTGGAGCTCCCCCAGGCTGTTCTTCGCTCGCGTGGTCACCTTGCGCATCCACCCCTCGAAGGCACCGCCGAGATTCTCCAGCCCCGTGGTTGCGTTCGAAACTGAGGTTGAGAGGTGTTCGGAGGAGTCCCGAAAGTCTGGGGCCGGAGTGGGAGGGGCCAACGTAGGCATGTGCTGGGCGAAGAACTTGCTCAGCCCGTCGGGAGCCGGCCCGGGAGCCGTCGCATTACGATCCAGAGTGCCTACTCCCGGCACGGTGAGCTGGATATTGCTCCGCTGACGACGGTGTCCCCCGGACAGGGGCGACTGGGTGGCCCGGGACGCAGTCGGCGACGACGGAATCCCGGACGGGGTCGATGCAGACGACGGCGGCTCGATGGGTGACGAGGATGTGGATGTGGTGTCTGTTCGCCCTCGGGCAGTGGTCGACGGCCGCGCAGAGCCAGTGGTTGACACCGATTTCCGCCGAGTCCGAGGGAAAAACCCAAGGGCTCTCCGAGGGACGCGGCCGATCTCCACCGGGGCGGAGAACCCATCGATTTGCACCATTGATTCGTGCTTCCAGACTCGATCCGCCTCGACTTCGACCGCCGTCTCCGGGAACGAGGCGTGTTGCGGCGTGCTTTCGCCCGAGGTCGTCGACGGCACAATCGAGCTGCCCTTGAGGTCTTCTAGGGAATCCTGTTCGGCACCGTTGCCTTTCAACGGTGGCGTCGGCGGTGGGATCGGTCGACCCTTCACGGTGCAGGACTCGACCGGCAGGAGGACGGTCTTGCGGCCTTGGATGCTGTCACTCGGCCAGAAGCCATTGGCTTTCCGAAAGATTGCCGGTTGACAGCCATACCGGATGGTCACGCCCGTGATGCTGTCCGTCGGCTGCACATGGTGGATGTAGGCCAGAGCCTCCTCGTCTTGCTCCGGGTCAATGGCCGAGTGCCCGGTCTGGTCACAGGAATCCCGTCTCTTGTGTCGGCGATCCCGACTCCATGTTGGGACCGGATCGGCCAGCAACAGCGCCTCCCGCTTCTTCGCCTGCACCAGCGCTCGCCGTTCTTCCCGGGTCCCGGCTCCGATTTCGGGCGACGCGGGGGCGGACGGACCCCACGCCGACGGAGCGGACGCGGGCGTCGGGGCTTTCGAATACGGATCAGGGCGAGACGGTTTCCGAACGTGACCCCGGGGGTCTCCGTTGGGGGCCGGGTGGGCGACGTCGCTGCCGAGGAACGACGACGCCAAACTCTGGAGGGACGACCACGACGAATCGAGGAATCCTACGGGAGGACACGACAACTCAGCTCGAGCTCCACTGAAGGGGGTGGATTAGCACGAAACGCACCTAAAGAATCCTTGGACCAGGCACGGTTGGGTGGAGAGGTGGCCCGTGAGGGGTGGCTCATCGGAACCGGGGAGATGCCGCGGGAGGGTTGGGAGGAGGGGGTCGAGCGGCCGGAGCGCGTGGGGGGCAGGTCGGGGGAGAGAAAGGACAGCCCCGAGGACTGCAGCGGCTTCCCATTCACATCGTCGTCGTCGTCCTCGGTCAAGGAGACCAGGCGGCGGGTGCGCGAGCGGATGGCCGAGGAGGTATTGGTGCTCGATCCCGGAGTGGTGGAGGCCGATCGGTGGGAACTCATCCCTGGCGACCGGAGGAAGAGGAAGATTTGAGACGAGTGGTATATTCAGCCCCCCTGACGAGACCTGACGGAGTGAGATGAGATCGCCAAGGCACGGATTGCCATCGGAGGTCCCTACGACAGGACATGTGTCATCCAGGCCTCGAATCGCATCCGTGTCCTTTCGTTTTCTTGATTCTTTATTATTTCTTTTTTCGGTTCTTCTTGCGAAACACACGACAAACGCAAAAGACGTCCGGTGTAATCCGAAGAAGTAAGTGAGGGATTTGGCAGTGAGGTTGATTTGAAAGAATGAAGACCAGCCGCCAGACGACGTAATGAAGGGACAGGAAGATAAGGAGGCTGCAAGGTAAGGACGACGGTGGTCAAGTTAGGAATGGTTTGGTTTAGTGGGAGAGGCTAACGCGGCCCACTAGGCGGTTCGTCGACAAAGGGAGAGGGCGAGTATCCTGGCAGGCGGGGTTATAACGGAATCACCAGGAGAGTCGAGACTAAGGAGAGAATGAGGAGGAGAGAGGAGAGGAGAGGAGAGGAGAGGAGAGAATGGATGGAGCGGAGAAGCAAAGGTGAGTCCAGTCTTGCCTCCAGAATCCTGACTAACCCGCAATCAGCCTGTCTGCGGTGATCGACACGGTATGGATACGGTCGGTTTTTTGTATATTGATGTTATATATAGCACCAATACAATGTCTATATCTTAGGATACAATGGCGAGATTTTACCAGAATTAATTGGACTCTCAATGATTGCATCTGCCGCGTATCACGAAGCCAACTGGTCAGTCTATGTACAGATCACGTGGATATGAGGGCCGTTTTGGGATCATTCTAGACGGAGTTGGACTGTACTTTCTTCTTGTTTGCCACCCTCAAATGATCGATAGGGTTTATTAATTTTACTTTCATTCGATAATTATATACAAACTTTCTAATTGTTGCAGGAGCTGTCAGGCCACTCATTCAGGCGTCTCGCGGACGACATGTATAACCGCTGAAGCGGAGCCGCACCCCACGCTTGGTTGAATAACGCACCTAGAGTATATTAGGTAGACTGAAAGATAAGAAGAAATACTAAACAATATTCTCTATCAAGTCATTCGTAAATTGATAAGAAGCTAACTGGTATTATATCCAACAAACGCCACCCCGGCTGCTGTGTACAAGTGTTATAGACAGGAGAGAGATCCCACACCCCTTCTGATTAATGCCTTACTCCGGCGGTTCGGCCATATCCGTAGAAGGCCGCGTTTCGCCCTCAGATACGCCTTCCGACTCCGTGCTCCACTCCTTCTCCGAGTTGGCTTTGCTGGACAGAGTCGTCGGCAGCTGGGACGGCGGGGGGATCGCCCGGATGCTCCCTGCACGGGCCGAAAAGTCCTCCGTCCGCAGACCGCGGACCTCGTTCGGGTCGACGGACGTCATCTGCAGTCCGGCTGCCTTCTTTTGTCGGATCAGTTCGCGGACCGGGACCATCGCGGCGTCGCGGCAGGCCTCCTTGATGTCGCTGCCCGACATGCCGGCCGTGGCCTTGACCAGGTAGTGCACGTCGAAGTTCTCGCGGTCGATCTTGGTGTCCTTGAGGATCAGACTGAGGATGCGGAGCCGTTGTTGCGCCGGAGGGAGGACCACGGGGAACTTCTTCGGCATCCGGCGGAGGATGGCCTCGTCGATGTCCTGGATCCGGTTGGTGGCGCCGAGCACCACGATCCGCTGCGGCTCGCCCGTCGAGTTCGCCGACGTCAGACCGTCCCAGTGGGTCATGAACTCGGCCTTTACCATGCCGCTGGCCTCGTGCTCGCCGCTCCGCCGCGTGCCCAGCACCGCGTCGATCTCGTCGATGAAGACGATGGAAGGCTGGAGCTTCCGAGCCAGCGAGAAGACGGCGTTGACCAACTTGTTGGAGTCACCGTACCACTTCTCGGTCAAGGTGGAGATGTGCAAGTTGATGAAACAAGCGCCACTCTCATGGGCTAGGGCTTTCGCAAGCATGGTTTTGCCGCACCCCGGGGGGCCGTAGAGGAGGACGCCGGACGGGGCGGTGAGGAGGGACGAAGTCGAGGCGTAGAGATGCGGCATGGTCAAGGGGTAGATCACGGACTCCTTCAACTCCTCGATGATCGTGTCCAACCCCCCAATATCCTCGAACGAGACGGGAATGTCATCCGGGGCAACCACGTCCATTGCGACGGCCTGCTCGTATTGGTTCAGGGTCAGTTCCGCCTTCTTTTGCCGGCGTGAGCGCTTGTCACCGCGACGTGGCGACTCATCGTCCGAGTCCTCGGTCCCATCGAGCCTCCGTAGAATGGCTGCTGATTTCTTTCGTTGTTCATCTTTCTTCTGGCTCTCGGGGTCGAAGTCGAGGCGAGACAGTAGATAGCGGATGAGGAAGTATGCGGATGCAGACTGTCCGTCTCTCATCATTAGTTTCGGTTCAAATCCAGTGCGGAGAAGGACGGTCTGGGCTCACGGTGCCTGCCACCATCACGAGTTCCTGCAAGAACTGCTGCCATCGTGGACCGCGTGCGGACGCCATTGCGACAGTCGATGGGAAGGATGAATAGGATCCCAGATGGATCTTAGGTATTTTATAGCAGATCAATGGAAGGGAAGGAAGATAATAAAAGATAAGAAAATGACAGAAGATAATTATAGCCCGCGTCGAGCAACGGGAGGCAAAGTAAGTCGAGAGATAGATTGAAGATTGAAGATGAAGATAGAAGATTGAAGTGGTAATGATGAGGTCGGGGAGTTACAGCAGTTACAGCAGTTACAGCACTGGATTTGCCGACCGTTGGGTCCACGTCACATGTCAGGGAGATGCCGCTCACCGCCTGCCTGAATTGTCTATCAGGTACGGCATGTATTACGGTACCGTATTCAATACCACTTTCGTATTGATCATGACATGTTTTCACACTATCTTCGTGCTATTTACCTAGTAGTAGACTCAATTCTATCTTGCCCTATGGCGATCTAAACTATACTCCAGAGTATCTCTCGATAAATGAAATCTACAAATAAAGTGGTGTCGACTCCACAGTCCTGAATGCCAGGTCCGCCTCAAGGTCCCCCGGGCGGAACCCCTATTGGCCCACCGCGGACCTCGAACGCGCGCCAACTGGCTTTCTGCTTTCTGGAACGTTTCCAATTCTGTTGCTTCATCTCTCTTACCTTACTTCACTAACGTCTAGGTCGATCGTTTCTTCGTCGCATTGAGGATGCTGCGGCAATTGGCTTGCTTGTCCGCTCATCATCCCTGTGTATCGCCATCCACTGTTCTTTTCTCTCGTGATTACTGTTCTTGTTTGTTGTGATCATTGGACGGACCTACAAGACCATTATTACCTTAGTCGGGGTCTCTCCCCTTTCGTGGATTCCATATCCTATACCCATCCACGATGGCTCGCCTCAGTCGGGGGTGGTTTCTAACCCTCGCGGTGGTCTTCCACCTCATGTACGCCTATTCGATCTTCGATATATACTTCGTGAGCCCCATTGTCAGCGGGATGAAGTCGTATCGGGTCGAACGAGATGCCAACGCCGATGCGCCGGCGAACCGACTGGTCCTGTTTGTCGCCGACGGGTTACGCGCAGACAAGGCCTTCCAGGCGCTACCGGACCCGGACGAACCGGCCGACGTCGAGAACTCGGAGCCCGTCTACCTCGCGCCCTTCATTCGATCCCGCGTCCTCTCCCACGGTACCTTCGGCATCTCCCACACGCGCGTCCCCACCGAATCGAGACCCGGACATGTCGCCTTGATCGCCGGTCTATACGAGGATGTGTCGTCCGTGACGACGGGGTGGAAACTGAACCCGGTCAATTTCGACAGCGTCTTCAACCGGAGTCGGCACACGTGGAGCTGGGGCAGCCCGGATATCCTCCCCATGTTCAAGGAGGGCGCGGAACCCGGCCGGATCGATGCGGACATGTATGGAGAGGAGGCGGAAGACTTCACGTCGGACGCAACGCTGCTTGACATCTGGGTGTTCGACAAGGTCAAGGAGCTCTTCGCTGCGGCGAAGAAGGATCCCGCGCTGGATGCGACGTTGCGTCAAGATAAGCTGGTGTTCTTCTTGCACCTGCTGGGGCTCGATACGACCGGCCACGGCTACCGTCCCTACTCCAAGGAGTATTTGCACAACATCAAGGTCGTGGATAAGGGCGTGCAGGAGATCACGAGGCTCGTGGAGGATTTCTACGCCGATGACAAGACCGCCTTCGTGTTCACTGCGGACCACGGGATGAGCGATTTCGGAAGCCATGGCGATGGCCATCCGGACAATACCCGCACGCCGTTGGTTGCCTGGGGCTCCGGTGTCGCCAAACCGCAGTACGTCCATGACGGCGCGGTGTCGGGACATGAGGACGGGGTGTCGGCGGACTGGGGACTCGACACCGTCCGCCGCAATGATGTTGCCCAGGCGGACGTCGCGGCGCTCATGGCCTACCTGGCCGGACTGGACTTTCCCACCAACTCCGTGGGCCAGTTACCGTTGGAGTATCTCCAAGCGGGCCCGAAGGACAAGGCCCTGGCGGCACTTGCCAACACCCAAGGGGTCCTAGAAATGTACCGCGTGAAGGAGGGGCAGAAGAAGGCCGCGCTGCTACGGTACACGCCGTTTGAGCCCCTTCACGATCGGGGTGATGATTCGGTGGACGATCACCTGGAGGAAATCAAGTCTTTGATTGCGAACGGCGCGTATGACGAGTCCATTCGCCTCTCGGCGACGCTCCTGGCAACGGCTCTGGAAGGCCTGCGCTATCTGCAAACCTACGATTGGCTCTTCCTACGGACGATCGTGACGCTCGGGTACCTGGGCTGGATCGCATATGCGTTGACGACCGTCATCGATCTGCACGTCTTGCACGGTGCCTCGGACTCGAACCGGACGGTGACGAGCACGATCTTCTTTTCGTCGATCCTCGTCGCGCTCTTTTCGGTTTTCCTGTATCAGCAGTCCTCGTGGCGATATTACTTCTACGCTTTGTTCCCGGTCT